ATTTCTGATTACTGTAGTCTAATGATTATGAACATTTTTACCAGGTTGTGAACAAAATTCAGAAGTTGAAAAAGACTGCTCAGCTGAGACTGACCGACCCAGTTGATGTTTACTACAGTTCACAGGATAGCAGTGATAGCTCTCTCGAAAAGATTTTGCAATCGCAGGTTAGCTAGTTACTTAAGCTAATTATATGCGCTTTCATGGTTTGCTCCATGATATGCATATATGGTGGTGTTGGTTGCAGGATCAATATATTAGAGATGCACTTGGTTCCCCTCTTACCTCGAAGGCACAGGCACAACCCAATGTGGTTAGTTTGAATCAACATACTTTTTACATGACATTTCCTGCTTGCCTTTTGCATGCGTGTGGGATATGTTACATCTGCAGTTTAAATTTGAAGTTATGTATCCAATTTTTTATATACATGTAATAAAATGTGAGATTTGCCTGATAAACAGTACATATTTAAGAAGGATTTACTATTTTATATGTTTTTAGAAGTTATATTAGTTGGTATACCGTGGATAAATATTGTACGGATCTCCGGTTGTCTCACCATCTCAGCTTTTCACCTTGCTCGCAGAATTTTAAACGTCTTAAACATGCGAATATTAGTTATCCATTGATCATACATATTGTTATGGTTTTGCAGGAAGTAATCTGTGAGGAGGCCTACAACGTACGTGGCATGTCTTTCGTTATCTACGTGGCAAGGTATTGCCATGTCCTTTTTCTGTTTATCTGAATCTTATTCTGAATGTTTGATTATCTGAAGAGTGTGTTTCACACTATCACACCTTCCGTTTACTACAGGAAACAGTGAAGCTTGTTCATCCTTTTATCAAGGTATATTCTGACCGAAGTCTGTCGTCCAAGCTAGAAAACTAGTTTTTGCACTCTTGCATTCTATCCCACATAAATATATTTCGGCTATGATATATGATTTCTCTTGTTGCTTCTGTAGATTGAAGATTTCCCGTGAGTAGATCCCTTCTTTGAATTTGGAATTTTATTCAAAGAAATATGTGGTTAATGTAATTGTAGTTGTGTGGTTAACTAGGAAATAGCACCGGCTATTTTCGTTAGTGTCCTTCCCCTCCCTCTCTTTGTAATATACTCCCTCCGTTTCAAAATATTTGACACCGTTGATTTTTTTAAGTACGTGTTTGACCATTCGTTTTATTCAAAAATTTTAAGTAATTATTTATTCTTTTCATATCATTTGATTCATTGTTAAATATACTTTCATGTACACATATAGTTTAACATATTTCACAATATTTTTTGAATAAGATGAACGGTCAAACATGTGCTAAAAAGTCAATGGTGTCAAATATTTTGAAACGGAGGGAGTAAAAGGCAACTTGGCAAGTCTTTGTAAATGGGGCAATTACGTAATTAAAATAACTTCACGAGCCTTGCTGTAACATATACAATCAGCTAAGCAGGCCTGTTCAAAATAGAATGAAAAAGTTTTCCCACAAGGATTCGGAGCTCTGATTTTCTGGTCACAGTTTAAGGTTAAGGGAGTAGGTTGTATAGCAGAGTTTAAGGTTAAGGAGAAACTATTTTAATGCCCTAAATAAGTATAGTTTTCTTATTATCCCTAAATAAGTATAGCTTTAGTTAGCCAGTGACATACTAAGAATAATATGACCATTAATATAGAGAGAAATCGAGAAGAAAAGAAAGCAAGGGGGGAGTATTATTGATTCAATGATTTAAGGAGGAAGCACTGTTGATTCTATGATTAAAAATGAGAAAAAGATGTACTATTAGGGCTCCTTTGATTTGGAGGAAAACATAGGAATTTTAGAGGATTTCAATCCTATAGGAAATTTTTTCCCTATGAAGCCCTTTGAAACAAAGGATTGAATCCTATCTAATCATTCCTATGGAATGGACAATCCTATAGAGATTTTGGAGGAAATTTAGCAAGAGCTTCAACCTCTTGCTAAATTTCCTTTGAGTCTATATCTCTCATTCAATTCCTGTGTTTTTCCAGTAGTTCAATCAAACGATCATTCCTGTGTTTTTCCTGCGTTTTGCAATCATCTGTTTTACACTTATATTCCTATCAAAATCCTATATTTTTCCTATTCCTACGTTTTCTCAATCCTGCGATTCAAAGGGGCCCTTAAAGAGTTATAGCGAACCTCTAGAACTACCTATTTAGATACTCCTACATGCTTGTTTAGGAATGGAGTGGAGGTAGCAGAGAAGATGACTAACAATGATAAATAGTGGCCGGGTGAATTAAAAAAATATTTACTCTAAAATTATTTATATTGCAAATTCTTAACCTTAAAAAAATTCCTTATATAAAGAAGGAAATTGTTATGCGTGACTTAACTTTTTAGATAAGACGAATGGTCAAATGTTGAGCACGGAAACTTATGGCTACACTTATAATGGGACGGAGGGAATACTAAATTACTCTCGCTATTAAAGCATGTTTAATAGAGTTGTTATTTTTATACTCTTCAAATGTCCATTTAACCACCTTGAAAAGAATTCACAGACTCAAATATATCTTTCACTCGAAGAACAAACTTTATTAGTCACCTGGTCACGCTCACGGCCATATTCGTCTGAAACTCTGAACAATGGTCCATGTGCAACAACACAAGGATGACCCAAACTCAATCATATCAACAACAAAAACAATCAAAGAAACAAAAAAAAAAAAGAGAGCACTCTTCACTCCTCGATGATTCCTAATCTAGAAGTCCTAGGATGAAAGCACTTGATCCTATTCCTACCACCATCCTGCCTCGACTTCCGCGACGCCCGCGCCAGGAACGCGCGCGCCGCCGCCATTTCTTCGCCCTCCTCCTCCTCCTCCTCCTCCGTCGCCGGCGGCGGCACGATCGCCGCCTTCGCCTTCGCCGTCGCCGCCGGTGACCGGTGCAGCCTGCACCGGAACGAGCCCGGGTGCGTCGTCGGCGCGCACAGGCAGTACTTGGCCACCGCCGCGGGCGCGCCGGCGTTCTTGGCCGGAGAAGAAGAAGACGACGACGACGACGAGGAGTTCACGGCGGCGGCCATGGGTGGGTGCAGGGTGACACTTCCAGCCAACCGCAGTGGCAAGCGAGGCGAGTGATTAATTTTGCTACTAATCGAAGTGAATGTGAATTAATGTGATCAGTTCGTGTGTCCATATAAAAGGTTGAGAATGTGTTCGCTTTGGGACGCAAAATGTTTGTTGGTGTTGAGCACAACTGCCTCCTCGTTTGGAGGCAGAAAAAGGCTAACTGAATTGGAGAGAGATCCTACAAAAAGGGGCGTACTTTACGTTTATCTGGATGAAAGGATAAGATGTCGATTCCAGTGAGGACAAATATAATCGCGGTGTAAAGCACCGTTTGCTATCTTGAAGATTGTATGATTTGTCTTTGTGTTCCTTGCACTCCGGTATGTTTTCTTGTGTTTTTTTTAAATTACATATAGAAGAGACACACCACACCCACACAGCTTAAAAAGAGGCGAAACACATTCTCCGTGATCCTGGTAGTCGATCAGTCGCCAAAATGGATCACAAGACATTCGACGTCGGGGTGATCCCAGTGACTTGGTTTGTCTGGAAGAAACACAAAAGGGTGTTTGATGAAAAAGCCTCCACGATATAACAACTTTGGGTGGTCATAGGAGACGAATGGAAAACCAACATGGAGGACGGCATGCATTGAAGAGCAGGTACAATAGCATGCTATAAACCAGCTGCAAACATATTTTAAGAAGATAAATAAGGAGAGAGAAGAACAGCGGGCTACAAACATATTTTAAGAAGATAAATAAGAAGAGAGAAAAGCAGCGGGCTATAAATTTGTAGACAGCTGTAGCACGGACTACAAAACACAGTGCGTATGATAGGTGGGACCAGGTATTAATAGTGTAGTATATAACTATTGTATGAATGAGCTATTAGATTGGCTATAGATGAATTGGAGCTAGTAGTTGGCTATACTATTAAACTTGCTCTTAGCCCGATAGTGGTGGTCGGAGTGCAGTTAACTAGTTCTCTAAAGTTTTAGAGTGGGTACAATAGCATGCTACAAGTTAGCTGTAAGCACATGTGGAAAAGAGAAGAGAAGAGAGAGAGAGCACGGACTCCAATACGTTGTATGTATGAGAGGTAGGACCATATATTAATGGTATAGTATATGTTTATAGGTAACTATTATATGAATGAGCTATTAGATTGACTATAGACGAATTGAAGCTGCTAGTTAGCTATACTATTAAACTTGGTCTTAGGGTGTGTTCGGCATCCTGTTTTCCCAACTCTCCCCTTTCGTTTTTCGTGCGCACGCTTTTCAAACGGCTAAACGATGTGCTTTTTTTATAAAAAGTTTTTATACGAAAGTTGTTTAAAAAATCATATTGATCTATTTTTGAAAAACAAATTAGCTAATACTTAATTAATCACGCGCTAATAGACCGTTTCGTTTTCCGTGCGTACCGTTCCTTTTGGGAACTGGCTGCAATGCCCCTTTTCTCAACCCATCTCTCTCATTTTTCGCGCGCACGCTTTTCAAACTGCTAAACAGTGTGTTTTTTGCAAAAAGTTTCTAAATGAAAGTTTCTTAAAAAATAAAATTAATCCTTTTTTAAAAGAAGCAAATACTTAATTAATCACACGCTAATGGACCGCTCCGTTTTCCGTGATCACTCTTTAAGATAGAAACTTGTTCTAGCGAACACAGCCTAAGTAGCCTTGTAAAAATGTGGTTGTAACAGCAGTGCATTGACGTATTGCGGAAGAGCATCGCAGCGTCCGCTTTTATATTTCCTTCATTTTAAAATGCATGACTTGTTAATATTTCATATATCGTTTGATCTTTCATCTTATTTTAAAAACATATATTTCATTTATTTTGTTGTGACTTATTTTATGATCAAACAAAATATAATCTTAACCTATACTTTTACATATTTATATTAAATTTTGAATGAAACAAATGAACAAGTTATGTGAAAAGTCAACGGTGTCGTATATTTTAAAGGGAGGTAAGACATTCTTTCTAAACTCTTAATATACTTTGGCCGGCGAGCGGCGAGACATTTCAAATATTCCAGTTAGCAGAAAAGCAAAAGTGTTTTGTGTTCTAAAAAAGAGAGCAAAAGTAAGTTTCTATCTGTACATCATTCTGGGGCTCTTCAAGAGCGCTCCTTCCTCCAAATGAGAGTGATGCACCGTGTACGGCGACGCCGCCGCCCTGAGCTCCACGGCGTCGCGCCGCCGCCGCCTCTCCCTCGAGTGCGCCACCCACAGCACCACCGACGCCAGCGCGGCGACGGCGACGGCGAGCAAGCCCCGGTACACCTCCGCGCTGTGCCTGCCGAGCCCCGGGCAGTGCTCGTCGCCGACCACCCGGAACGCGCGCCGGACGAACGCGCAGTCCGCCATGTCGGCGAGCACCGGCCCGTACCGCGACAGCGCGTCGCACGCGCTCGCCGCCGCCACCATCTGCGCGTACATCGCCGGCGTGAGGCGCCCGACGGTGGCGCACACCTCCGGCGCCGCCGCCGCGGCGCGGGTGGTGCGGCACACGCGTTCGCGCCACGCGCGCGGCGCGGCGGCGAGGTCGACCTCGCCGGGGTCGCAGCGTTCGCCGGGGCTGCACAGCAGCGGCACCGGCGGGCCGGACTGGTTGTAGTAGAGCGGCGGCGGGAGGCCGGCGGCGGCGGCGTTGGAGACGTTGGCGATGACGCCGTTGAGGACGGTGACGAGGTGGTGCGTCACGTCCTTGCTCCGCGCCAGCGCGTCCGCGGCCGCCGCCGTGTCGACGCAGGGGAGGATGTCGTCGAGCGCCGTGCGCGCCTGCGGGCGCTGCACCCACTCGCCCATGGCGGCGCAGGTGTCACCCACCACGCTGAAACGTCAAGGAATTCTTTTGCTCAGTGTCGAGACAGCAGGTACGTGAGGTCGCCATGGCAGCAAGCAACGGTGAAAATGTAGAAGAAAGTTTTTAAACAAAACATATACCCCATCACAAAATATGACTTGTATATCATTTAAAATTTGTCTAGGAATATTTTGTCTAAAAAAATTTACAGAAAATCTCGACGGGATACCCTTCTATGAGACAATACCTGATACCTGATACTTGTAGTGGTACTAGCTGTATGGTACCCGATACCTGTGATACTTGTTACCCGGTACCTATGATACCTAGAACCTAATACCTGTGATACTCGTGCAAGAGAATAGTTAATATGTCTATTCCGTTGCAACAGGACCCTGTTTTGTAGCAGCCCTCAAAAAATTTATCCCACAATATAACAACTTCTACACCTACATTTCATTCTTAATCAATCATAATCTTCCCTCATTCAAATTGACTACCCACTTTCTCTTCTTAACCAATTATTATTTTTCTCCAATTTAATATCACTTATTTTTTTCTTAATATCCATGTCCAGTGGTAACTTTCTCTTGTTCAATTCTACCTGCATCCTTATATTTTGGAACATATGTATCATTTTTTGAGACGTGAAGCAAATAAAAAATAGTTTTTTCTAGACATGGAGCAAATAATTTGTGGAGTGACTAAAAAGATCGTAGCCTTACTTGTGTAGCAGAAGGAAGGTGCCACAGAGCAAAAGCGTTGCTGCAACCAGAATCCACCCAAGAAACACCAACCTGCATCCAAAACAACCGTGTGGCTCAACACCAGTAACAGATGAATATTTGGGAATCTTATGCCAACTAGGGCAATTCTTTTTAATTTTTTGTAATTTCAGCATGTCAAATGAATTAGTGAAATCATAAAACTCTAAAGGAGTGTTTTCATGCTTACACATAGACGAGTGACTCCATTCCGCATATTGAGAACGCTGAGAAAAAAAGATGCAGAACCAAATAAGTCGCACAAACAGATTAATTACAAAATGTTTTTGCAATTTCAATTCTTCAAAGAGGAAAGGAACTTGTTTTCTCACCGAGCCCAAGAACAGCTAGGATCAACATCGTGGCAGCAACAACAATCAAAATCTTCCTTCTGCAAACAGAACAACCGAAATAAAAGAATTTCTATGAACATCATCAAGGAAAATACTTGTTATGAACACTCATAACAGCAGTATCTATACTTTCTATATAATTGGTACCCACTAACTCCTAAAACTCAACATACAAGTGTGTGGTATGCCACATCATCATCCACTAGCAATTACTATTATTTAGAGTATTTTAGATCTCATACAAATATGATATATCATTTGTAATTTAGTTGTATTTTTAAAACTTAACACGCAAGCAATGTCAAATCACCATCTTCACATTATTTAAACATATAAATCTATCATTTTTATAATATATAACATACATTCATCTATATATCCCGCGCTGCGGGGTGTAGTTTATAAAATATAGCAATCTATAATCGAATGAAGCATATCTTATCTTAGTAGGACGAATCTGAATAAGAGAAATATCTATATTCGCAAACTAGAATACGTTTTTTCTGATTTTAAGTTGCTATATTTTACGACGGATTAACTGTTTATTTTACCATTCATCAGTAAGCTTTTTACCCACATTGTCTCCAAGGCGTCTCGGATCTTGGCGGCGTTGCTCGCCATGCGCGCCGCGAGCTCGTCGGCGGCGGAGCTCATCTTGCGCACGACGCCGTCGATGCTCCCCTTGACGCTGGCCGGCAGCGACACGGGCCCCACGCCGGCCGCCTTGGCCGCCTCCATGGAGCTCGCGAATCCCCTCAGGCTCGCCACCGCGTCGCCGGACTTCCCCGCCACGTACTCCACCGTCGCCGCCGTGCTCCCGTCGAACCGCCCCTGCCCGTCGTACAGCACGCCGCACCCCACGCTGCAAACAATGGCGGCGGCGGCGGTTAGTTTAGTTTACTCACCGGCGGCGAGGTGAGGTGACCGGAGAAATTATACGTACGCGGCGGCGGCGGTGAAGGCGAGGAGGAGGACAAGGGAGACGACCAGCGCCGTGCAGGAGTACGAGCCGCCGCCGCCGCGGCTGCTGCCGGGGCAGCAGCAGAAGCAGCAGCCGGCGAGGAAGAGCGAGACGCCGAACACGACGAACCAGATCGCGGCCGCGGCGAACACCGGCGCCACCGTGAACCCGACCGACTGCATGCACGCGTCGTCACGAACGACGAGCTCAGAATAAAATCAAGAAACGGCCATGGAACAAGAATGGAGGATGGACATGGATCAAGAGGAGGAGGAGGAAGAAGAAGAGGAGCTCACGGCCCAGTAGTGCTCGTCGCTGATGTTCCACCCGCCGGAGTAGAGCCTCAGCCCATCGAGAGGATCCTTCCGCCGCGTCCGCTCCCCGGCGAGCACGAACGTCGTCGTCGACGGCGAGCTCCTGCCGCCTCCGGCCACTGCCGCCGCCGCCGCCACCAATCACATCAAAATTTCACACTTCTTGCCGCGATAAATCAGACAATGCACACGAAATCTTTACCTGCGGATGCATCGGCGGCGGCGGCGGCGAGCAATGCTGCTAAGACGACGAGAGAGAGCACGATCAGCAGGAGGAGAAGAGGAGGAGCACGAGACGCCATGATCACGAACGGCATTGGGCGGCGTCAACTACTACATGTTCTACCTGAATTTCAAACGACGGCAATGGAGGAGATGGCGGAAGTATCGGCAATGAATTTGTGAGTATTTTTCGGTTGGTTGTTTGTTGGCTTCGAAATTTGGGCACGAACAGGTCTTCTTCCTTCCTTCCTTCCTCTTGACTCTTGCAAATTTAATTCCATTCCAGCTTGCATAGTTGCATGCACCGAGCGCCATGGCTAATTTATTTTCAGTAATGAAATGAGTTGTATCTTATACTACAATGGTCCATTAAAAATCTGCTAATACCTCTACTTTTACAGAACTGTTTCATTTTGAAAAAAAAGGGATTAAATTATGCTTTGACCCTTAATTCCATATGATATGTTTTACTACGTCAAAATACAGTACTACCTCCGTTCTAAAATATAGCTATATAGTATAGGATGTGACATTATCTGTCCAGATTCATAGTACTAGATAATGTCACATCCTATATTAGATATCAACATTTTGGGACAGATGAAGTATCAGATTTGACACATCCCTAATATTACTATACATTTAAACATATGTATAATATATACCAATATTTTAATTCTATAAAAATATGTTCTAGTAGCTGTAAATACCAATATTTTGTGATGAATCTGCCATTAAATTTTAGTACACTAGATGTATGTATAATTTGGACTAATCATTGATCAAAATCTAACGAGACCTGGTGATGAATTTAAGAAAATGAACATTTCGCCATGTTCAAAACATAGTTTCGCTAGAATGTCATCCCAAAACGTGATTGATAAAATGCCAACATGAAGCGTATGTCTACTGCCACTTTGCCATTTTCGCCATTTTATTTATTTTCAAAAAGATTTTCTCTCCTCTACTAGATGGTGAGATAAAATTGCCCCTTATAAACTCAGAGAACACGGTGAGAGAGGAGACAGAGAGAAGGGGCGGCAACGCTGCTTGCTGCCGGCCGGCGCGCCGCCTCTCCCCATTGTGCGCGTCCGCCGCGGCGGCCTTCGCATGCTCCGCCCGGCGATGGAGCGGGTGACCAATGAGGAGATGATGGCGAGGACCACATCAGCAACCTCCCGGACGACCAGCTACGTCTTGTCCTGCGCTGGCTCGACACCCGCACGGCGGTCGCCACGGGGGCGCTTCTCTTTTCTTCTCCTCTTCCTCTCGGTTTCTCCTCTCGTTCCCTTTTTCTCTCTTCCTTCTTCGCTTCTTTGCTCGACGCGGCGAGGGGGCGTGGCTGGTGCAGCGGCAAGGCTAGGTGCGAGCTGGCGACCGGGCCAAGGCGACGACGGTCGGCCCAGCACGGTGGCGGCCTGAGGGCGGCCAGGCGGCGTCGGGTGGATGGGGAGAGAAGGTTGGCGTGGCGGCGTCCCAGCGCCGATGAAGACGGCCACGGGGGCGCTCGCGTTGCTCGGCCGCCAAGCTCGGTCTCGCCCCGTCCCACACTGCCATCGACGCCCTCGTCAGCAACAGCGACCACCTCGCCGCGCTCGATCTTGATCCCCTTTCAGCCGATGAGGAGGGGCAATTTGGTCTCATCAAGCCAAATTCCAGCGAAAATGGATTTGAAAATGACGAAAATGGAGAAAATGACAAAGTGGCTGTGATCGCGCGTTTCATATTGGTATTTTAGCGAAACGCGTTTTCATGATGGTATTCCAGCGAAACCGCCTTTTAAAAGTAGCCAAATGTTCATTTTCTCGATGAATTTAGCCTGCAACGGCTGCAATATTTGAGACCAGTGGAAAGTGAAGCTGAACTTCGGTTGCATGCACTTGCACATTTGCGTGGCTAGCTGTATTGTACGTAACTTATGTAGCCAGTCAACAACCTAGCCATAAATTATACTAGCTGCACAATGTATATACCATCAACTATACAATGTATATATAGCTGAAAAAATAGGCATGTTCTGATGTACTGGTACATATACAAGCAAATATACCGTCAACTGTATATATAAATGCAAAATAGCCATGTTCCATGTGCATGCTACCACGTTACAGGCTTTGACAATAGGGCATATCATGCGCTTATTTTGGTGGGTTTCTTTTATTATCGTTTTAAAAGAGACCATCTATACATTTATCAATAAATCTTCTCCTAAAAATTTATGTGATGTAAATATAGTACTCCCTCCATCTACTTTTGATAATCATATTTTATCTTGGCACACAGACCAATGATAAGTAATTCTACTTATCATCTATTTAAACATGCTACTAGTATTCCTCGTAAACAAGCGATTCATTAATATTTACATTTCTCAATGACCATATAGCCAATCATATGTGGAAGAATGGAGAGTCATGCATTAAATCCGAGAAAGTCATTAAGATGATAGGTTGTTGGATTAAAATATGCCTATCAAAAATAAATTTTTCAGATTTAGAAATATGACTATCAAAAAATATATGGAGGGAGTACAATGTAATTTACATTGTAACTTAAGTGTAACTACAATGTAACTGGTATGTAACTTTTATTTAATTTTGAAACAATTAGATTTACTTTAAGATTTGTGCAAGCGAAAAAAAAACACAACGCACACATAAGTGAGGGGATTTGGTCCCGTGACCCCATCCTCGTGAAAATAGCATGTTATCGCAAGATCTTTTAAAATTATATACAAGTTGTATTTATATTGTAGTTACATGTAAGTTATGATGTAATTACACAATGATCACATTATATTTACACTATCAAATTTTTATGAGACAATTTATAGATAAATGTATAGCAAAAACTGCTTTAGAATATAGTTATAAGTATTTAGACATTTAAATTTTACATCTACTAGTGTCATGTGTGTATGTCGCAACGGTGTTGGAAGAAATACGAACGGATGGTTTTAGGGGTTTTTTTTGCCTGAGCTAATCTTTATTTTCATGGCATCAATTGCTAGCCGACTGTAAATTATCATCGTTGTTAGTCGCGCGTAATTGCCAGCCGACTTTAGGATTTTCATCATAGTTCATTTTTTTTCCCATGGCTTATCGGCTTGGATCTATCTGAAGACTTAAATGAATAGCCATTGCTGTTCAGAATCCGATAGGACACAATCGAGCGGCGTTTGCTTTTGTTTGTTTTTGTGCAGCTGAGTTTAAATTCGACCTTATCCTCGGTGAAAATCACAAGCCGTGCCACTATAACTGTATAGAAGCTAATCGGCCAATTAAATCTAGAGAGTTACTATACAACTGAATCATGTTAGGACGTACAACTGAATCCTATTGGGATAGGATGATACCGGTTAGGTATCAGGACATATATCTCTAAGGTATACTTTTTCCGTAAAAAAAAACCAATCCTATGTTTGAATCTAGACACATGTATTAGGTTTTTTTATTTTTGGAACGGATGGAGTATGTCCTGATACTCCAGACACCAAAGCATCGTCGCCAGTGGTCCCATTGTCCACGTCCCACGTCAGAGCTCGTCGCCGACGGCCGCATCCTCCATTGTCCACGCCACAATGGAGCTCGTTGCTAACGGGCCAGCAACTTGGTCCATTTATATATGGCCCATTCAATTATTGATCTCATTGGTCCAGTCGCGTTGCCCATTTCTTTTCTAAATGGGCTTTCACGGCCCATTAATTGGCCTAGATGGGCCTCAACTTTGGCTAATTGGCACGGGCAAGCAGGGACACAGCCCGAAACGCAGAACAGAGTCTCCTCCCATCACATCTGCACCGACAAACAAAATGAAAAAATGTCGAATTTTTTTCATTTTTAAATTTTTTTCTTTTAATATTTACAGAAATAATCTATCGGCGCAACTAGGGCGGCAAGCTAACGTGGCAGACAGCAGCTCGACGGCGCCGTCTGCCAAAAAGCAATTTTTGCAGCCCTGAAGAGCATTTGGCTCGTACTTTTTGCATCTGGGCCCCTTGCCACCCTACCAGAGGACGGCAAGGGACCCAGATGCAAAAGGTACCAGCCAAAAAGTACTAGTCCCGGGCTAGCTTTTTTTGCAAAGGGGGGGGGCGGCAAGGGTTTTCGTGCAAAAAAAAAACCCTCCCTCTCCCGTCTGCCGTCACCGCCCGTCCCTCCCCCATTTGCCACGTCAGCTTGCCGCTCTAGTGGAGGGCGGCAGGGTCTGGATTATTTTTTGTAAATATTAAAAGAAAAAAAATTTAAAAATGAAAAAAATTCAAAACTGTCTCGCCATGAACTCCGAATTTTGCAGATGGTAGTACCTAATAAATACAGAAGTAGCTACCAAATTGGACGACGAAATCCTTTGAATTTTGGGGCTGACCGGAAACGATAGCTGCTGCAGAAGCAAGTACTACCAACATACCTTTTGCAAATGGTACTCCCTTCATCAATAAGAGTTACTTATTTTATATTTTAGTTTTTTCCAAATAAGTTATTTCTATTTGCAGTCTCTATACATCCAACACTTAAATGAAGAGATAAATTAAATGTTTTAAATTAAATGTTTGATCAAAATCTGAGCAGCTATCTTAATACTCATTGGTTGCATGCAGATATACACTCATTGATCTTTATTATATGCAAGATGAGTTAATTTTTTTTGGTTTTGATGATAATAATGTAACTTTTATGGAAGAAAGGAGAACAAGATACCACATTGGAGGATGAAATCCTTTAAATTGTGCAGATGGTAGTAGTACATCAATTCAGAATTGAGTGTGATACAAATCGAAAATCCAACAAGCTCTCGAGTTCTTCTTTTCGATGTGTTTACACGTCCTTCTCGGGATACAACAAGAAATAGTCTACTACTACTCACTCCTTTTACAAAATTTACACATTCTTTTATCACAAGACCAAGAAAAAAAAACTCATCTTGCATTTAATAAAGATCAAGAAGTATATATATGCATGTGACCGATAAGTATTAAGATGATTTCTCAGGTTTTGATCAAACATTTAATTTAGCTTTCCATTTAAGTTTTGGATACATTAAAAGTTACAAATAGAAATAACTCACATAAAAAATAAATATGAAATATATCAACTTGGAGAGAGTACAAACGAATGAGCTAATTAATCGTCGCATTCTCTAGTCCCCTCAATTACGCTTAAAATACATGCATAAAACCATGCTCGAGATTCGTGTTCTATAGCTCCGGATTTCAATACAAGACTGACCAGATCTCAAGGCCTTGTAAAAAAAAAAAAAAAACTAAACCAAACATAGTGCAATTAACCCCTCGCCGAGCCGATCAGCAACAGCAACAGGGAGGCCTACGGCGATGAGGCGGCCACACGAGATCCCATCCAACGCGTGGCCCGACGCGCGGCACGTGACCGCGCCTCCCCGCATTAACCCCCCCTTGTGTCAGACCCCCCTCACGTGACCGGCACCACCCTCATGGCCCACCGCCCCGCCACGTGTGCGTGCCTTGGATTTTCTACGCAAAGGTCGTACGCCCACACGTGCGGGGGCGCTGCACATGCGCAGCGGTTGTAGCGAAAGCTAAAAAAGGAGAAAAGTACTATTATAAAAATTAAAGATGTTTTTACCGATACTTTGGTACGTCATCCGTGTATGAGTATATTTGTAATTTCGTTCGCTTTTAGAAATACGTAAGGAGTCATGTAAGAAATCTCTTTAAAAAAAACTTGCATATTAACGTGAGACGATTAAACTCCTAACCACAGCTCATGATTTTCTCATGTGATTCAAATCCTAAGACTTCACCCGTTACCATGTACGGGTATTTTTTCTATAAAATTAAAATTAAAAAAAATAAAAGAGAGGAGTTGGAAGTTGGGATCTCGTGGACCATCGAATTTTTCTACTGTCACCAGTTAATCCTGGCCGTACATCACCGACCACGGACACTGGCATCTGGGGCCCCGAGACGTGGGCCCACTTGTCATTGGGTGGCGGTAGGTTGAGGGTGGAGGGATGGAGGGGTTTTGGGTGGCCTTTGCAGTCCGGTGGAGAGATTTGACCGTAAGACCGACAAAGTGATGTGTTAGAACCATGAAAGATTACTGCGATTTACTAAAATAATGGCATGATTATAATATTATAATGAGATGTCTACTTGGGTGTAGTGTGTGACCCAACAAGCTATAGCTAGTAGTAAAACCAGATGCATGATCAAATAATAGGGTGACCTACAAGGAGGCTACAGCTAGAAACAAGAAACAACAACATCCATTGCTTACCCATTACTCATGGGGGCTAATTAGCAGCTGGTCCTTAATTTGCTTAGACAGATTAACAACGTGATTTTTAGGTCAAATCCTAGTAGCTGGATGCTAGGGGAAATTAAAAGGTTGTAGGCTTTGGAGCTTTGCTATCACAAGAACCGGGTTGTTGTTATTCCATGGATTATTGATAGGTACATGCATGTATCCCATTCCCCAATTCATGCTTTAGCCTTGTCATAAAAATATAATAATGTAAAATAAATAAAAAGCTTTAGCAAATTCCAATCTCTCTCTGAATAAAGCTTCAGGTTTCTTTGCATTTTAGAAAGGAGAATCTCGATGTAGCTTTCCTATTTATGCATGCACCACTGATGATATATACAGAGCATTGGCAACGTATTATGTACCTCATTCACATGTCATGTTCTGATGCTTTCTTTATCTGACACTTTCTCCTCTAATCCCCATTTCATCTGCATTCAACACCATCATTGTGCAGAGAAAGGGAGTGATGAAACAGCTGTTCCTGAAACAACCAAAATTAAATCAGATACATTCAAAATTAAATTTTAAAACTTAATTTTAGAGTGATTTTGATGTTATTTTTCCAGCATTGGTTTTTAAGTCGCTAAGAGCACACACATAAAAGTTTTAAGTTTTGTCGCTGATAAGCGTTACGGTTTATAATCGGCTTTAGGCAAAACAATAAGACTCTAAAGAAACTGAGAAAGAACTGTCTTTCTTTGTATCTGGAGACCAGGTGAACATGGAAAGATTAAGAGAAAATGCATGAATGGTACACAATATCAAAAGGTATCAGAGATGAAAAGTTTTTGCTTTTGTTAGAGCCATGATATATATCACTTAATATTCCGTTTGACTTCCACAGTTGAAAGACCAGTCAGACATTTTAAGGTGAGCTGTCCATCAACTCACCCTTTCAGGGACAATGGGCCAATCTCTGCAATGCAGTTCAGAATATTAGGATGCATCGTCAGATAAATCACATCAGGAACTCTGATCCATCGGTACAGTCCAGAAAAATGAACTCTATGCATGATGCAAAGTTATTCTTTTGCGAACCTTGACAGAAGCACACCTGGGACAGACCATTGCAGTCCTCATCAAATCCACACCTGGAAGGCTAGAAGTCAAGCCAAATCACAGCTGTTAGATTTAAGCAGTAGTAGTTATCTTTTGAAATCAGGAAATCTTGCATGTATAAACACCAAAACAGAGACAATTTATCTATTTAGTGCAAAGGAGTAGTAACTTAGGCCAAAAAGGTTGGATATACCATGTTAGAAAGGTCTCACAGCACAAGTACACAGTATATACCCCATAAAGAAAAAGTTCAAATCTACATTGTATTTGTACCTGTATTATCTCCATTGCATAGCATTCAAATTTGTATTCAAAACAAGAACTGTTGAAGAGTAAAACAGATTGTAGGTTCCAAAAAAGTTTAATCACAGAATGCATAACAGGTTTGAGTTTTTGTAGTTTACCATTTGAGATATAAAACTCAAGTAAAACAACAGCTAGCCTGTAGCAAACACGATGGGGCAAAGCCCAAGGCAGTAATTTGTTAGTGGAGACTGGTGATTTATATTGTATGCATGTGTTGCCCAAGAAAGGCCATCCTCTCCCCCACACATAAGCCTCCAAACAAGGAATCAAAGGGCTTCTTGGGCACTGCATTTGTTTAAGAGTGGTGAGCTCTATAGCCAAGACTAGAGATTGGAGCTTTGGTCATAAGTTAAAAAGTTTGGACAAGGATTGGGAAACACTAGAAACAGCATCCACGTTCTCCTCACCTCCCCACCTCCCTTTCTACCCTTTATATAATTGTTTTTGTATGCTTTGTTGGCTCACTATGTACAAGTCATGCACATTGGTCCAATCCCCAAGAGATGCAGCAGATTTTAATGTTAAAACACCAGACCTTTCCATGTTGCAATGCCACCAGAAATGAGCATTTGTGAACATTTCTTGTTTATTGTTGGAAAAAAGAGAGACAATATATGTTGCTGAGGAGTAATATCCCAAGTGACTAAAATTCTACATAAAGCCTTTACCCACATAAACCATGTTAACAGTTGATTGCACATTTTATCTGTTTGAATGGTAGTCTGTCATAATTTCTAAAGGAGAAGATAGAATGGTAAATTAATTAATAACGCAAACAATAATTTACCATGTCACCTAAATTGCATATGAAATTGTATGATTGCGGTCAAGCAAATCTAAATGGGGCGAACTTGATTTATGCTTCACTAGCCAATCCTGAACAGTCTTGTAAAATGTAAATTCTTTGAATTTCAGTACTGTTTTGAGTTGAACCTGACAAAATCATGATAGATTAGTTGACTTTTCTCTAAGAGGAAAAAAAACCTTTTGTGGCAATTTTTCTATAATCTCAGAGAATTTTATTGGAATTTTTGAATCAACTCTAACCTCTTAAGATAAATGGTCCAATAAAAAACTAAATTTTGTAAAATGTAGTATTTGATTATCATAATATCACATCCAGCACCTACAACGGCAATTCCGGAACATGTTCTTAATAAGATGCACAAAGTTAACTACACATGGCTATCACTACCCTTTCATAAAGCAAGGTGCATTCCATGATAGTGCCAGAGATTAAGGAGTCAAATGTCAAAAGCCCTAGTGGTGCAAATATATAGCCCCCCGTCTATGGTTGAATCTTTAATCCTTCTTATCCCACTAAACACCCCCTCCTCTCATCCTTCATAAGTTGTACGTATCCTCCTTCCTCACAGCACCTCACCCTCACCCTCACCCAGCCAAAACCACACACAACACCAAAGGATTTCACATCAACAACACACATGATCATGGTGAGGATTCCAAACTTCTTCATACTATCATGAAAATTCTCTCTATCAATTGAAAATTTACTTGGAATTTCGCAACCTCAGCAGGCTATGTGGAAGCCAGCATGGTTAGAGGCCCTGAACACACAGAAGTTCTTCATAGCATGCTCTTTCCATGAGCATGCGAAGAAGAATGAGAAGAACATCTGTTGCCTTGACTGCTGCACCAGCATCTGCCCACACTGTGTGGCAGCACACCGTGTGCACAGGCTACTGCAGGTGCGGCGCTACGTCTACCATGATGTTGTCCGGCTGGAGGACCTTGAGAAGCTGATCGATTGCTCCAGTGTTCAGGTACATCAAATATGCATAGTGCATGCATGCAAGTTTGATAGTTGTGCAAGGGTTAATATGTATGCAGCCTTACAATTCTGTATCTACATGGTGCAGTCATACACAATTAACAGCTCAAAGGTCGTTTTCCTGAAGAAAAGACCACAGAACAGGCAATTTAAAGGGTCAGGGAATATCTGCACCTCTTGCGATAGAAGCCTCCAAGAACCCTATTTCCACTGCTCTCTGGATTGCAAGGTGATTGGCTGGAATTATGATATCGTTATTCTGTGTTTAGATGCAACTGAATTTCGGTGAGCATGAGCATGCTAAATAAGATAACATAATTATGGAATTATGATCTAGAAGGCACTTAGGAAGAACATTATCTTACCTTGTTTCACATGCATATACACATTGGTCCGGCTACCCGAAGAAACCAATCACAGATTAACTGAGAACTAGAAAGAACTTTTAAAAAAAAAACAAATCATATTAGCAGCTTTATGCCAATTACCAAGAGGAAAATGCTTCAGATGCAACAATTATGTGCCATATCCATATTGCAAGTGATCTCAGCTTCGATAATTTCTCATTTCCTTAATATATAACAACTTCCTTCAATATGCATTGTTAAGATTAAATGTAGTATGCATGTATTCTAAACTTGTAATATGTAAATATGTTCAGATAGTCATTAAACACAATTTGAGCTTACTTAGATTTTTGGGGGAGCACATATGGAAATTATTAACATTATGCATCCATTTCAGGTGGAATATATATTACGGCAAAAGAAAGACCTGTCAGCATACTTGCGTCCATGCAAGACCTTGCAGCTTGGTCCAGATTTCTTCATTCCTCATGATGCTGATGATGAGACAACGCACTCAACCCTTGTTGATGTTGACGAGCCCATGGGATCATCAGACTCAGAGAATTTGAGTGCACCATGCCCAAATTTTGTCCGAAAGAAGCGGAGTGGACCATATATCTGTGCACGATCTGCAAACCGAGTTTCTGATGATGATATGGCAACAAACATGAGCAGAAGAAAAGGTGTTCCTCATAGATCACCTTTGTGCTGATAAAAGATCAATAATTAAATAGTTTTTTTCCCTTTTTTTTGCTTTTTTTGAGTTCTTTATCTCTTGGACAAAGCTGGTGCACTATTGACAGAATTTTGTCTCCATGGAACCCTGTGATTTCAATGTACATCACCAGAGGCAATTGTACTCAAATTCTTCATGTAGATGCACCAGTTCATATATATGTACGCCTTAAAATAGTTCATATTATCCCCTTTCTTCTTAGTATGGTATTACTGTTATTTTAGAGGAAGCAAAATGCACTGGACTTATTTTGGGTTGGTCATTAGTTAGTTAAGTTTAACACCTAGATATGATAATGGGACCATTATGTTAAATTACCTTTTATGGCAGAGGGTACCATTTTTATTATTGAAATGTGCACAAGCATGGCCAATAATCAATTCACAAATTTGGATATCAGCAAAGAAATTCAATAATTCTATCCAGAGAGTGTCAATCTGGACCAAATAGTATTTGGAGACTGAAAAATTTTTCTGTCACTTGTAACAAATAGTAGTAGTAAAGAAGTAATATCATGCCAAAATGCATTTTAATATAATCAAGGACCTGGAATACTGCGAACATTTCTAGAGGAATTTTGATAATTCCAGTTTTTTCTTGTAATTACCTTAAAAGTTATTCATGTAACAATAAAAGCATATGTTGCTAAATATTCAGCTATGTTTAAGCAACTACAAAACCAGCGAAAACTCAGAGCCCCATGGATATAAAAAATGTTTCAAGCTCTTGTCTGAATGGTAAAGATCCAAATTAGAAATGTGAGATGGGTACTAAAAATGGCAGCCTACAAATGCTACAGATACATTCTTATTGTAACAAATGTTAAGCTCTAGCTAGCTATGTTAGTTTCCATAGGAGATAGGTGTGTTTAACTTAACAGAGGTGCAATTCTAAAGATCAACTGACAGAATAACAGCTTTCTCCTACCAAACACAAGGTTGCAAAATTCTCGGTCTACCTTGCATTGTATTGCCCTTTTCATGCCTACAACAAATCTTAAGAGAATATACAAACTTCTTGAAACTGTAAAGCCTCCATGAAATCAATCATATCAGAGAAAGACAACACTATGCTTCTTGTTTGATTACGTTTTGCTTCACAGGGAAGGGTAGGAACACAAAGTTAAAATAAGCTTGAAATCATTGGAAGTTGAGCAATTCTAGTTTTAACTAGTGAAGCCCTCAGCAATGCCTACTCAGATCATCTCGAGATCAGAACGTAAGAATAATATTTTTCTCCATGCACCTCGTGATATGATTCGGCGCATATAGCTGGAAAGCTCGGGAAGTGCACTCGTGCGCGTCATCGACTAAATATTATATCCATATTAAGATAATCTAATGTCTACTTAAACAGTGAAATCTTTGTCATCCTCCTATGATGATGATTATAAAAAAGGATCGGTCTAGTTACAGGTACAGGGCTTCTCTCTCCTTGACTTTGACTGGATTTTCTGTAAGCATTTTAACTGCTGTAATTTCTTAGATTGTCTATTGTGTTTTGTCCTTGACATAGCGAAGATACAAGCACCATCTAGTTTATTGGTCTCTCTCTAATCTATTTAAATCGGAAGGATTAACATTCAAAGGTAAAGAAAAATTTGGTGATTGGGGAACATGCAAGTTACAGAAGAGTAAATTCAAAACTTCAGATACAATTTTCAAATATCATGTAAATGATTAAAGATTATTAAAGATGTCTGTGGATCCAAACGTAGATTTGGATTAGCACTCTTTTGTGAAGGGGAAATACCTACGGGGCAGTTGAGCATGTCATGCCTGGTAGGCAAGTTAATGGAAGTTGGCTATACCATTATGATCATATGAAATGGGCTTTCTTTTTTTGTCCAAGTCATGTTATCATATCATAAGTGTGTTAAAAATACATAACCATGTTCCGGCAAAGTCAGGTACATGCAGCAAGATAATAGCCTGATGTAAAAGGGGAAAAACGGAAGAGTAGTAATACACCAAGGAAATGGAAGTCTTAAGAAGAAGAAATATCAATATGTTCATAATTTGTTGGCATCATTCACTAAATCATAGAAAAGGCATAAAATATTTGTGGGGTGGGGTGCAGTGAGGGGAATAAAATCCAGGAAATTTGAGAAATTTGGATGCAGAAAACTGCTGTGTTTAAGGTTCAAATCTTAGGATGAAGCATGAAACTCAATGTTTCAAAAATACCACAGTAGTACCTACAACTATTAATTTAAAAGAGATTATAGTTCTAACAAGGTGCGGAATATAAGAACACCTATTTCACTTTTTGGTGAATCATCCTAGAAAATGATGTATCAAGTGAGAACTAGATTCTAAAGCAGCACAGTTTGGACATTCGATCTCGTCTGACTTAGTGGAACTTCGGTACTCAGCATTGAGAAGTCTGAGAGAGAATATGTTGAGTACAGAAGATTCAAAAATGTAAGGTGCAAAGTTGTTCCTTTTTTTTTAGCAGAGAAATTTCTCTATTCTACATATCTAACTGAGATATCTGACATCTAATAAGATCTCAGATTGTGAGTCCATAAGCTCTTATTTTAGATGAATTCTGACGTGATAAACCATAAATTGTTCAATGCATAGAGATATTCATATTAACCCACACATTTTCCTTTTTAATGAAAACCTCATAAGCTGTAATTTTTGGACATTCAAGTCTTAGAGCTAGTTTATGGTCTATGCTCTTCAATTTCCTCTATATAGTTCCAGTAAAACAGTGCATTATCCCTTTTCCTTACATCCCTGAAATGAAAAATTAAGTACCCAAAATCAATTAAGAATTTATGCAAGCAGAAAACAGTAGTATTGTAATGTAACTCCTATCAAGTCCATGAGCAACACTCCATCATTGACAGAAGTGTCTATGCATAGAGCATCTGAACCCAATAAGTACTCAGTGTGCCCTTTCTCAGACAGCACAGATATATGGGTGACACTTCACAATAGGTGAAGTCAACCACATGAACTACTGAAGGACAGCCATGCTAATCACCTCAAACAGTCAACCAAATTAAGAAATATCATCATTTTATGTTTTTGGGGATGCTCGGTCAATACAGTACAAATTACCAAATAGTAAAGGATGAGTTGAAACCTGATTTGTGAAGATCTCCAGATATGTTGACTGCAGACATGGTAGGTGGTAGGTACACAATAGAGCCGACATATTCTGAATAGTATAACCAGGTTGGTAAATTATTTTCCTCTACTGATTAGCCATGAATCACACCAGATCTGGCATTAAATTAATATAATCTCTCGTCTGATTTGCTATTTTCAGGTAATGATGAAGATTAATATTCATTACTAATTAGTTTTGCCATTTCCAGGTTGTACGAAGCAGGGCCTGGCAAAATGAAAGTAGCAATAGGTCAGGAAGCTGGCAACCACATTTACAAGATAGGACTGGTCCCAGAAAGCTGACTGACTCAGATGTTAGGGGTGTGTTTAGATAGGGTTCTCTTTGAAAGTTATGGTAGTTTTAAGTCCTACTCCACCTTTAACTGGAGCAATGATCCCTGCATTTTTCATTGAAAGGAAACAATGTCCTAGAATGATCTATAGATTGCCTAGAAGACAAAGAAATAATGATGAAAAGGGTAACTTGCTACCAGAGGTAGAGCTAAATAAAGCTAATAAGTGTTATTAGAAACAATGGTTAGTTATGCATTAGCTACAATTATGAACAACAGACATGTTTACAAAATGATGAATAATGTGAGAAACCATTTGTATCACGTGCTAATTTATGAAAAATAAATGACATATCAGAGTATTTTATTGATATGGATCACGATATCACATACTATCAGGCTGCTACTCGTAGAGTACTGTACAATATTGCATAAATATTTTGAAGTATATTTAGGAACCTGCATGTCTTTAATATCACCTTGAAACCAAGGTTCAAAAAAATCTGACTATTTTTATATATGTTATGCAAATATTGCTTAAGAACATTATAATCACTTCAGAAGACTAGAGTTTTACTGTGAAAGTATAAAGCTGAATAGTTCTGAGGCTACAGCTTCAGTATATGGATACAAGAGAATGACCAATAGCATTTACATTTTTCTCAGTCCAAGATGAGAACATATCTTCTTAGTCTGTAATAAAGGTCTAGATGATCATACCTGGTTGATTAATCTGCAAGATGAGTTATGCTAAACTAGAATAGCAGACACTAGACTAACACGGAAAAATAGCATGAAGATACCTGTCTCAGCTTCTCAGGGACCACAATGCTTTGAATGGAAAAGTATTTACTCATCAACTATTTGCTGCACTTTGAATACTGAACTCAGAACTACGAATTACTAACCTGGAACATGCATGAAGTCAATGGTTCAATCAGCCTTTTAACCAAAGTCCGCACATGCCAAATGAGACACAAATTTCAACCTAGAGGGCTAGGCCCAATGGGACAGCCCATAATTGCATATAGATGATCCATAGTGTGATGGTACGCGGCAGACACGAACACATGATATTTGATTAAAGCCCTACCAGCTGAGAGTGAGATAGCTTTCCTGTAAAGTTACACAACAAAAATGTGAATACTCAAACATTAATTAAATCATATTCAAGCTAAATCCGCACCTAAGATAAGAAAAATAAAATCCACGCGGAAGATGAAAATAGGACATTTGCAGTGTGAATTCGCCTAAGCCAAAGTAACTCAGTACTAAGTTGGTACGTTCCCCAAACTGTAAGCCATCACCCCAAAATACTACAAAGATTTCATATATCGGTACAATGCATCAAAATTTCAGCACTGAAGTTGCACCTCGCGGGAACACACCGCCGTAGCAAACCCCGCATCCGGCACCCGCGAGAACGACGATCTGTACAGTTTGCACTGCATCCCGGCGCGACATTACGTCGAACACCCGGCGGGCGAGCAACCAATTCTCGAACGCTCTCACCACTGGCCTCTCCCCTATCTCCCCACCGCGATCTCCTCGCATCAACCTCAGAGAAAGAGCTGCGCCGAACCGTCACGAGGCGGCGGCTGGGGTTGCCGGCGGCGGGCGCCACCGGAGGAGCCACTACGCCGCCGGTGATCGATCGCTCGCTCGCTTCCTCTTCCGTTGCGAGTTGCGATCGACCATCCACGGCTCGGCTCTGTCACTGACAGGTGGGTCCCACACCGTCAGCAGTAGGACATAAAAGTGAAATTTTCAGAAATCCCATGAAACCTCAAGTATATAACTGGTGGCATAAATGTATCACAAAACCTTATCTCCATTTCGGCAAACATTACTAAGATTTTTAAAATATAGATTGTATTTGAAACTTTTAGTTGTTGACATCTTACTTAAGGTTGTTGGATCAACTCTTCCCTTCTTCAACAAGCATTGTTTCAGATATGCCAAAATTAATTTAAATTTGAAAAGGGTGAAGTTTTGTACTCCAAAACATTTAAATCATAAAACACGTGATTATACGCCAAAATCATACTGACGTGGGTTTTATGTATTTGACCATAAAACGAGATTTGATGAAATTTACTCGACACAAAACAACTCTAGACTCTTCTCGAGGAAGCAACGCCTCCCTTGGGAAAGGAAGAGAGAGATTTTCTCTTCCTCTCGCCGCCGCCGCCGCCGCCGCCGCGGCGCCGGCCATGGCGACCTCCGGCGGCGAGGACCCATCCGGCTCTGCCTCGTCGTCCGCCAGCGCGCTCGACTCCCTGCCCTTCTCCTCCGGGAACCCACGCATCGAGGAGACCCGCGGCGTCGTCCTCCTCCACCCCGAACCACCCGCCGCCTCGTCCTCGTCCCTTCTCCCGGTAAGCCACCCCCTCCTCCCCTTCGATGGCCCTCGTAATCGCCTTCTCAATGTTCTCGTTCGCGCGCTTGTCTTGCCAGGTGGGGAGGAAGCCGCGGGTGTGCGTGCCTGGCGTGCCCAACCACCTGACCTACGCCGACTTCGGCCGCTTCTGCGCATCCTGGGCCTCCCACATCCTCGAGACGCGCATCATCAGGTATCGTCGGGTCTCGATTCTCAGTTGGGTGAAAGCTTCGCTGATGATAATTCTCCGTAGTAGTAGTAGTAGTAGTAGTAGTAGTAGTAGTAGTAGTAGACATGGGCTCATTGCGCGTTTCGTCAGACCTCAAACATTGGCCAATTTTGGTGTGCATGAGTGGTTCTGATGTATGTGTGAATTGGAGTGTTAATTGGTGGGTATGTTTGTAGGATTGATGGGGTGGAGGATCAGTACGGCGTTCTTATAAAATTCGACACTCAGAGCTTCACGGATAGCTTCTACATGAGCTTTAACGGGAATCGGTTCTCATCACTGGAGGTGCTGGATTGCTTTGGTTCTGCCGAGCACTTCGATCTTCTGCCGCTCTGAGTAAATGTGTGCTGTGCTGATTGATTTGGGGCTGATGTGCTGCAGGGTAATGTTTGCCGTGTTCGTTTTGTGGAAGACGTTCACTACACTCAATTGATTGAGCACGCACATAGCTCAGTTACAAGCTCAGCTGAACAACCTACATGCCCAGTATGTCTTGGTATGTGGAAGTCTTTTGAGTTACTCTAGAAATTTACCAAATTTTCATGATGTAGTGTTCTTTCAGTCTGTTCAGGGAAATTTGGAATACCTCAGCAGCTTTCAGTATTGTATTTTTTAAGTTAAAAGTTAGAGATGTTCACCCACCTGCTTTTTAAAAATATCATTACTCCCTCTAGCCACAAGTACATATGCCACTTTGGACTTACATGTAGTCAACCTTCGAAATTTTGAGTAATGGTATGCCATTATTTTTTATTTTGATACATGAAAACCATGTGTGTATCTGTCTCAAAGATTACTTTCATAATGTTATAATTTTATCAGGTTTATAAATGGATTACAATAGATATTACTGGTCGAAGTGTATATTGAGAGTTATGCTGATACCCAAAGCATGTCTATGCAACCAGGAGTAGTTTTCTATATTTACTATCTTATTTAAGCCCAAAGTATAGCTTTCGAACTCACATTGATCACACCATTTATTTGTTTTTATTGTCAATAGAACGACTTGACCAAGATCCTGGAGGCATTCTTACAACAATATGCAACCATTCTTTCCACTATTCGTGCATGTCAAAGTGGGCAGACTCTTCGTGCCCAGTAAGATCTTAAGACAACTCACTTACTACAGGTGTTTTTTATATATATATATTAGTTTACTAAGGGCATCATCATACTGTTCTATCAACATAACTTTTGCTGTCACCAAGTTTCTGGTATCTCAAATTTATGGCAATCAACTACATTATTTTTTAAAATAATACTTACTAGGAGATTGGTTGGCATTCTATAATTTGAATTCATTGCTTCTTTGTTTTATCCTGGCTTTAGAAACAAATCTATGTGTGTTTACAGAAAGTGTTGTGCAGGTTTGCAGGTATTGTCAACAAGAACCAGAGAAATCCAGCTGTTCAGTTTGTGGAACATCAGAAAATCTTTGGATTTGTGTAATCTGTGGCCATGTTGGATGTGGAAGGTATTTCATGTTAATTCTGGAAGATGTGAATTTTACTAAGTAAACAACTTATTTGATTGATTGGGGATTAACGTTCTCAAAGGTACAAAGGTGGTCATGCTATTGAACACTGGAAAGAAACGCAACATTGTTATTCACTTGAATTAGAAACACAGAAGGTTTGGGATTATGCTGGGGACAACTATGTGCATCGTTTGATTCAATCGAAAACAGATGGGAATCTGGTTGAGTACAATTTCTATGGTGATCATTCAGTTGATGGTATGTGTTCAACATGCAATGGTGATGCGGGGATCAGTGAAGCTCTGCTCGACAGTAAAATGGAAGCTGTAATGTATTGAGTACATAAAGTTTGTAGATCACTAGCCATACCATCGTAGTACATTTTGTTTTCCATCTCTTACAACTGCGCGCTTTCCCTGCTTTTAGATTGTTGAGGAGTACAATGATCTCGTCACGTCTCAGCTTGAAAAACAAAGAAATGTAAGTTTAAATGCATTGTGCTTTATTTCGTTTGTCTAGTTGATGTTTCTTTATCACCTAGGTAACGCTTTTATCACTTGCTGCTGGTATCTACTCCCACTGTCCCACAAAAAAGTCCAATCCCGGGGATGAATCTGGACTCGTCCCTAGGATTGGACTTTTTGGGGGACAAAGGGAGTATGTTCCAAGGAATTATTGGTGTCAGATCATTAACATGGAATATTTGGCCATGTAAGTTTTGGTTTTAGTACTAATGTACATTCTGATTTTGGTGCTAATGTAGTATTACGAATCACTCCTGCTAGAAGTCAAAGAGGATAATGAGAAAGAAATTGCTGCTGCTACCGAGAAAGCAGTGGGCATAAAAGTACAAAAGTTACAAGCAAAGCTTGATAAGTGCATGGAAGAGACCGGGTTTCTTAATGATGTAAGCTCTTGCCTATTTGTTAAGATCAAATCTGAAACTGTAGCTCTAGAATTACTGCCTTCAGGGAACTTTATGACTTACGTACTCATAATTATTTTGATATATTTTAGATTCATGAAAATCTTGTAAAAAACATGGAGATGTGGAGGGAGAGAATTCAAAAAGTAAAAGAAAGGTATTTTCTCTGATATCTTTCAAATTATCACAGGAACGACTTATGAATCAATTCTTGTTTACAATCATGTCCTATTCCAGCTAGGTAACTTAGTAGAATATGCATATGTTTTCATTGCCTCTCATATGCTGTAACGAGTGACCAAAGTGGATATTTGGTCATTTTATAATTCCCTTGCAGTTGTTGAAATTGGACAGAAATTGCGTTAATTTAGAATTTGAGTTGATCTCAATTTATAGTTTCTGTTTTACTGATGATCAAAAATCGGTTTGATTTTATTATAGGGAACAAGCTGCCATTAGATTGAAAGATGAAAAAATTGAGAAGCTGGAGGAGGAGGTCAGTATGTTTCGTAACTGTTGTTTTTTAGCAAGTTTTATGCTTCTCTTCTCATGATATTGCGTGCCTTTTATCTCGGATAAGTCGGATATGTAACTGATGTTACCACATGTTAGCAACTCAGAACCTCCAGCGTGCAGAGTTGTTCCTTAGTGCTGTCTTGTTTAGACTTGTTAGTGGATATCACACTTGCTTGATAAGACCGTACTATAATCAAATAGTTTAGTCCCTTGTTTGCATAAAGTTTAAGTTATGTTATGCACATAACATAAGTGAATCCCCTGTAGCATTGTATCTCATGATCACGAGGTACCTTTTGTGTTGCAAATAGATGCTGTCTGACATCTCCAAAGAACAAAAAAGAGAAAGCTATGCATTGGTCTTTGGTCACGTTGTTTATGATTGCAATCTTCTGCATAATGTTTACAGTATGCATAGTTTTACCATTGTCTTATTAGAAGGCTTATTACTGACCCATCATCCTCTTGTGACAGCTAAGGGATTTGATAGCCCATTTTGAGCGCCAAAATACCGTGGCAGAAGCTTCAGAGTCAATGTCAAGCGATATAAACGGTAGCACAATTCTCTCGGTACCATCTGAATCATCTGCAAGCAGCAACAGCAGCATCAGAAATTAGGATTGAGATTTGTTACCGTAAGCTGTATTTCAGCATCAGAAATTAGTCTGTTACTGGCCTTACCGTACATTCTTTGCTCCCTTATTATCTAATAATGACAGTTATGTGTTACCATGGTTATATACTTGTTGGCTTCTCAAATGCATAGTACAAATCAAGCCTTTGTACAGTGTGTTTTTCTGGACAATTTTCCTTGCCTGTCCATGTCAAAATTTGACTATTTTTCCAAAGAAAATTCTCTCAGAAGATGCTGGATTCCCTATCTGCCCCTACCCCCAACCACCCCAACCACACATTGCTGCTCTAACATGCATGCCCATTTCCGTCTTTTTCCAAGATCATATCTACTACTTAATCACCATTAAACCTGCCTGGTTACTGCTAATCACAGGCGGTTTGACCGTATTACCACTCATTTTGCTTACTACTTGATCTGAGCCGCTTAGCTCGGTAAGAAGTAGGTGAGTAGCCTTCATGGAGACGGAGGCCTCGCCGCCGTCGCCGATGAGCTCGCTGCGTGACAGGCTGAGGGCCACGGTGTGCTGCTGCTTCGGCTACGGCGGCGGCGGCGGCGGAGGTGGCCTCGGCGACACGGTGGCGCAGTGGCGCCGCCGCGTCGGCTCGCCGGGGGAGTTCCGGTATGATCCCCTCAGCTACGCGCTCAACTTCGACGAGGGCGCCGCCGACGACGAAGACGACGACTACGAGGCCGGCGACAACCACCGTGCCGACGGCCTTCTCTACCGGAGCTTCTCACCGCCGGCGGCGGCCATCGCCGCCGTGTAAGCCTCCGGCGACCGGAAGCTTCGATCGGTTGCAGAGGATATGCGAGTATATATATATTTAGCCATGCACATATTAAGAAGCAATAGTTCAGAGTGTGTAGCACGTATGGTTGCATGTAAAAACTTGATTATATGTACGAATGATCAGTGTTTGATTTGGACTTTTGGAGGTTTCGCGAGTTCGAATTACAACGCAAAATTTTTTCTATTCTTGTAGGCATCGAACGTTTTCATTCATCACATTCATGCGTTACCAGTGATGACTACGATTGATCAACATCGAAATTCTTGGAGATGAACGTACGATAAATGATTCTCAAGTTCTTGATATTTCTGCAACGATTACAGCTGGACGCACAACTAAATTGTCCTAGGTAATTTGGCGTCGTTTGGCGATTAATTATTGAACCTGCTATCCTAGGCCAACCCAAGCTTTGATTAGCTGCATTGACGTTGACAGCGAGCCGTAGAAAAATATCAAGCAAAGACAAATATTTCGCTCTTGGTGTTTGGTTCAAGCCTTCAAGGCTACATGGACACATGGCTTGGACTTTGCGTGCCGGCTACTTGCGATTTAGACCAATTCTAGGAATAATTAAGGCTCGTTTGTCTTAGGAATTAGTAGGAAATTAGGAATGTGCAGGCTGCAGCTGCTTCACTGGCCTGTCTAGCCGTAGCCATCACCACACCAGAAGCCAGTTTGCATCGCCAGCAGAATGTGCCAGATACAGCTGCTTAATTACAAGTTTCTCTCCCCTTAATATTATCATAATCCAGGGACTTAAGCTTGAGTTACACGTAATAGATTTGTTACGGATGAACTATGTAGACTCAAAGTTAGAAATGCTAAAAGGGATAAAGATAAACATCATACTATCGAAGGCACAGTGCCTGCATGCTTGCCTTGCTAGTATAGAAAAGCTTACGCACATATACTCCGATATTTTATACACAGTGAATTACCAAAACATGTTACACCTCAACACTGCATCGTGCATCAAAACAGAGAACATATCCAATCCGAATCTTAAAGCTCCTAATATCATATATATATTACATGATAAATAAGATACACAATTACATACACAATACAATTCTTCCTTCCGTTCATCGGTTATACAGAACATTCCTTCACAAAATCACATTAGCAGACAGTCGATGCTATACTGCGAAAGTCAAATACCACCCACCTCAGTTTTGTGCGCTTATGCTACAATTTCAGATGACTTCTTTGCCCAGTGATTACGCCTATGATCGCAATTCCCTTGTGAATGGGCCGGTCTCCAGATTTTGTCACACCAGAGCACGAGAGAATGTACTACACTCTTCACAATAAAAGGTACTGTTTACATCTAGTTTCATGTTGAACCAATCTACCACGATTGCTCAGCACCACCATCACCTGTAACGTTTCTTTTTTACATGCATGAACAGGGTAGAATTGATAAACACAATGTTGCGAGCTTGTTACGGAACAATGAACAATGAGGCATAATTTTCCTATAAGTTACCTTTTCTTCTTGGTCTTTTCACCAGAGGATGCTGGGTTGCTATGCCAGTTTCGTTTGCGTTGGTTAATGAACCAATTGTTGATTTGCTTCAGTTGTAACCCCGTTTCCTGCACCAGGCGGGCCTTGTCGTCTTCCTGAATATGTGTAGAAAGAATTGCTCGTCATGACCCACAATTGATACCATAATAATAAAGTTACGGAAATGGAATGTTGGTGCCACGTACAGTTGGGTATGGCCACTTAGAATGAGCTTGCCACCAAGCTTTTAGTATAGATGCAGTATCACCAGGAAGTTTACCAGCTCTCCGCTTGCGAAGGATCTCTTCCCTAATATCCACAAGCTTTTCTTTGTACCCCTACAGGCAGGACATTTTGGTTCACAAATAATGCACTACGATGATGGATGAAGCATTTCAAAGGACAAAAGGCTACCTGCTTAAGCTCGTTCTTCAGCTCATGCCGTACACGCTCAACCAAGGATCTTTCACCCTCGGTCAGCATTAAGGGACCAAAGCCCATGCCGTCTGACCCATCATTTCCATCAAACATGTTGGCTTCACTGTCCACTTGGTTATCTTCATCATCAGACATAGTCGCTCCAGTCCCTTCACCAGGAGATGCCCCTGCAGAACCAATCATACAAGCATAACTCAGTTGTCCGAACATCATCTAGGCCCCTTCAGTAAGAAGTATCAGACTTTAAGATACAAATCCGAGCACAAAAAAGGGCATGTTCTCCATATAAAGTGGTGAACAGCTAGCTTATCAAACTCAACTCCAATTGTAGTTACCCAGCGTTATCTACAAGCCTGGATCAACTCAGAATTGTTACCAAGGCCTCACACATGCCTTTGAGATTCTGATCAATATCAGCATGTGTAGTAGAGCTCAGAAAATGAACAAAATCATATTTAAGATTTTACGTAATAGTTGGTAGCTTATGGCTGCTGACAAGTTGGCACGGATTGTCTCTGAGATCTAAGTTTGCTTAATCCTAAGCTTATTGTAGGGCACAACAAAAACTCCTTTTTCTGATAGAGTAATAATTACCAAAGTGATGGTTGAAATTTAAAAAGGTATTGAACATACATTCTTGGTCTCAAATGAATAGTGTTGAAAATGTTATGTATACTTCTTTTCCTTTCTAGTTTCAATTGATCTACTATGTAGTTTCCCATTGCAATTGGACTGAAACTAACTCATAGCAAATTAGCAATCTGCTTGCCTGAATATTATCAATGAAATAACAAAAAAAAAGTGTATGTTTGAAATTTTCTACCATTTGCTGAACTGATTCAAGCAGATAGAAGCTTTGGTCTACCTGTTAGACTTTGTAAAGACTGTTCAAGTTCCCAGCACCCCATCACTGCTTCCATTGCATGAACACGCACATGCTGCTGAAGTTGTTCCTTGAATGAGCAAAGAAGCAACACATAATGTGTCTGCAATTAAGAGAAGTATGTTAGAGTCCACAAGAAGGGCTGCCATGTGAAAAACACAATGACATGTTCATTTCCAAGATAAGGAGTAACACAGGGGTCATAACGTCACAGCAAATTTCGTAGAAAGAGAGGTAATGGCATCAATACATGAGCTTATTTTTCCAGTTAACAGCATGATGAGAACAAGGTATTGTCATTAGATGAGATTAGCATAGCACAGATATTAATAGCAAATCAATAATCTTGGCAGGGAACTTTCATTCATGCAAGGTTTTACATCATCTCAGAAACTAGAGAAATGGGCCTCAGCTATTTTTCCACTTTGATAGCTTTTGGTCTAGATTTATGAGCCTTTGAATTTGTGGATTTATTTCTTATTTATATGACTGTGTCCCGTTTAGAAGGTATCAATGGATGCGGGAGTAGCAATAATTATCAACGGGTGATAGAATCCTTTCAAGCAAACAATTCTTGTAACAACTTCATAATCACTAGGACAAATCCACAATATGCCACTAAGTTTCAACTATCTCCACTACGTGCCACTCACTATAAGGATGTCACTAAGACATCAGTGGCATATCAAAGTCATCTACAACAACAAAACGGGCTTTGCAACAAAATAACCATAGTACAAGTTCACCCTTGTGGTGATTTTCAAGGTATAGTGAGACTGTTTGAACTTTATCCTGAGATTTTTTGTCCAATTTGGATGACAACCAATCATAAGCATAGGGGAAACGTGCAAACTTACTACTACTACTACCATATAAAGTCCATACAATAGCAAAGCAATTGAAAAATCTTATTGCAGATAATCCAAACAAACTTAATTGTCCATTTCTTTTCCTCCCATCGCCGTTTCCCCGACCTGCAGCAGAAAATTCTGCACGCGGAAAGGGGCATAAGGAGGGGCCTGGGAGCGGAGAGGCGTACCATGAAGAGGTCGAGCTCCTCGCCACCGGAGGGGCCACCGGCGGCGGCGGCGGCGGAGGCGGCTGCGAGGGGAGGCGGGCGCGCGGCGATCTGCGCGTCGATGCGGGGGAGCTGGTCCACGGGGGTGGCGACGCGGAGGCAGGCGACGTGCGCCTCGAGCAGGCGCTCGTAGAGCGGGTGCGCCGCGACGGCCGCCTTCTCCCTCTCCCCTCCCCCGACCCCGCCCCCGCCCCCGCCTCCGGGGGAGAAGCTAGGGTTGGGCGACGACGCCGCGGCGGAGGACGGGTCCATGGCGAGGCCGTGGTCCGGGTAGTGGAACGCCATGGGGCGGCTGGTGCCTCTCCGCCCCCCTCTCCAGTACGCGACTCCGGCGACGCGGCGACCGGTGGGTCGTCGGCGGCGGCGGCGGCGGTTGGGGGGGTTGGGGTTGGTGCGAGTGGGGAAGAGGGGAAGAAGAGCGGATGACGATAGGAGAGGAGGTTGGGTTGGGTTGGGTGGTGATGGTGGGGTGGCGAGTCCACTGCTTTTGGCCTGCTTTTGTGGTCGCAGGGTCAGCTTGGCACGATGTAACGGTGAACTCCGCTACTACCCTCCGCGAGGACTTGTGCTCTATTCGCTCCGTCTCAAAATAAAGGGGCTGTTTACTTCTCGAAATAAATTTTTTTCACTCATCACATCGAATGTTTACACACATATATAAAGTATTAAATATAGATAAAAAAACCAATTACACAGTTTGCATATAAATTGCGAGACGAATCTTATAAGACTAATTGCACCATGATTTGACAATGTGATGCTACAGTAAACATTTGCTAATGATGATTAATTAGGTTTAATAAATTCATTTCGCGGTTTTCTAGTGAAATTTGTTTTATTATTACTTTATTACTTCAAATGTGTATCCGTATATCTGATGTGACAACCAACCCCAAATTTTTTTCCCAACTAAACAATACCTAAGCTAACTCGAACTCCCTCCGTCCTATAAGAAATTTTAAAGGTTTGTGACATATTCTAGCTCTAGATGTGTCACATCCCTTCAAAATCTCTTATATTTTAAAACGGAGGGAGTAACTATTATCTGAACAAAGTCTATGTCTAGATATATAGTTATAAGTTACTCCCTCTGTTTTATATTATAATTTATTTTGATTTTTTTCCTTAGTTAAACTTCTTCAAGTTTGATTAAATTTATAGAAAATATAGCAACATTTCAACACAAAACAAATAAACTGTCAAAATATATTAAATTTCAGTTTTAATAAAAACTAGTTTGGTGTTAAAGATGTTGCTATTTTTTTCCATAAATTTGGTTATGAAAAAGTTTACAACAACTTATAATATGAAACGGAGGAGTGGCTTTTTTTTGTTTCAAGGATTTTCAAGATTCCGACAAGCAGCTCGTGAGTAGTTAGAGGGGGTGTTTAGGATAGTTTTATATTTAAGGTTTATTAGAGCTTTGTATTTTTAGCTTTATAAATTTATGGATTTGGATCTATGATTTATTTATAATATTTGAATGAATCATTTTGTTTCTATTTGTAAGATGCACTATAAATTTTAAACCATTAAAATCTAAAATACAAAATCCAAATTCAACTATGTCAAACATGACCTTAGTAATAATCTATAAAAAACTGCATTTTCTAGCTTCTACGTTCTACACTTCTACTCCCTCTTTAAAATATAAGTATTTTTATATTGTTAGAACAACTTATGTTAGGTTTAAAGATTATTTTTAGTCAGTTCAGTGCTAATTTTGAATTTTGAATTGCTTAGATTAAATCTTTCAAAGCACCTGATTGGCTTCAGAATCATCAAAATGATGTGGATAATGGAAATAAATGCATGAATATTTATATTGTGGTAGAAAATATGAACCCTATAAATACTTATATTTCCAAACAGATTGAGTGGTTTATTTTCTAGATTTTTAGTTGCATATTCTTATAATCTTTGTGAAAATCTAAACTTGTTTGAGGAGCTGAAGATTCTAGGGAAAAAAACTACTAATGTTAGAAAACTCATCTAAGAGCCTATGGTCAGAACTAAGATGTGGGTGTACAATGTATGAGCCATAATTCCATATATAGGTTCTAATTTTTGTGATCCATACAAGTCCTAATTTGTGCGATTTATACAGCCACTTAAGGCAAGAAAGAACACGCACAAGAGAAAATGGTGGTTCTTCTCCTTGAATCGAGCGACATGCATTGACCCGCTGAACTATATATACACTTACATAAAAGTGTATAAAACCGTTAGAGATTAATCATCCAAATGATACAAAAAAATTATCATCATACCATGAAACTACTTGTACATTTAATGGTCATATGTACTATTTTTACTTTTGCAAAGCCATATGTTACTATTGTCATATTAACATATGCCGTCCCCTTAATAATACATGCCAATCTATATATCTCTCCTTAATCATCTTGTCTTTCCTTAAAAAAACGTATGATCAACTTTTTCTCAATTATTTTGGTATAAAAGGCATACTATATATACTTAGACGCAATAAGTATAAATAAGAATGCACGTTTGAGCATACTGCGAGTAGAAAATGGAATAATACAGTGAATATTTAGATAATGAAAATTGATTACATGTCCGGCCAAGAAATAATACAATTAATTCGGAAGCACCCATAAACCTCGTAAAACACTAGTGACACTGATACTAAAATATTAACTTTAGTATATGAAGTCGTGCATCTTGAATTTCACCATGCTTATTGAAATGTTTTTTCCTCAGCAAATTAACTTATGTTAGGGAACTACTCCGTGGTTTGAGAAGGGGAAAAGGTTTGACAAGAATAAAAGAAAGTTCTTGTTGACATGACAGTTTAATTTCCCCAAACGATCGCGTCCACTTGGCGTGTTGCGAGTCGGGTGGAAAGTGAAGGTGGAGATGATGGGGATTCAATTAGATTGACGCGATATTTTGGACCATTCGAAAAGGGTACTCCCTCCGTCCCATAATATAAGGGATTTTGAGTTTTTGCTTGCAACGTTTGACCACTCGTCTTATTCAAATTTTTTTGAAATTATTAATTATTTTATTTGTGACTTACTTTATTATCTATAGTACTTTAAGCACAACTTTTCGTTTTTTATATTTGCAAAAAAAATTTGAATAAGACGAGTGGTCAAACGTTGCAAGCAAAAACTAAAAATCCCTTATATCGTGGGACGGAGGGAGTAAAGCCAAGTGATGATCAATTTGATCATGCAGCACAATGCAGGACAGTGACAACACATGGCCCACATCTTGGAAAAAATGCCCGCCCCAAAACTACCTTGTTTACCCAAATTTAAATTTCACAACTTAATTTTAGCTTGAGTTTGAGGTTTCCTCGTAATTTATTTTCTATCGTTTGCTTTTAAATTATTAAGAATGTATATAAAGTTTTATTCATAAATTATGCTTTGTTATTGATGAAACAGCGTAAGCGAAACAATGATTGTTTAAGCTCTTCTATCCTTCTTTGAGAAATTCAGCCCATCAAGATCGAAACGGCACGTCAATTTGTTTGCTGGATTGTTCACACAGGCCATTGCTATGCCAATTGATGGGATTTTACAACTCAGCGTCAAATTTTTTAGAACCTTTTGCATTTTATTCGGGATTTTACAACTCAGCGTCGAATTTTTTAGAACCTTTTGCATTTTATTCATATAGAGAACTCTGCTCTAATACTCTATCTGCAATACAGGCGAACAATAGATAAACAGCAATATCAAAGAGAAATGAGTAGATATTGTTCCATACCCGACCAAATCTTCACAATTAACATTTCAATTGATCGAAACAAAATAGCATGAATAAATTCATCTAATTCCACTAGAACTGGAATCAGTTTGAGCTGTAACAATCTTCAGCTCCATCAAATATAGAAGCACCAGGTGAAACAATATCAGTTGAAGTTAAATTAGTCAATTTTGTTTGGCTACAAGCCTACAACTTGGCTTATCACTTGGGACTATAGTGGTACTAGACCCTGTAATCTAACAACTTAATCAAATGTGTCATTCTCTTCACGCATGGACGTGTGCCCCCCATCTAGCCTGCAATTCCTCTATGTACACTTGCTATTCTGTCAGCAAAGCTGCACTAATCTGGAGAGCTCAATGGACTGATCCATCAGCAGCGTCCTGCACAGGAATGTTGAGATCTGGAAGAGCGAAGCCGCCTCCGATGGACTGCGTGGCTGACTGCTGATCAATCTGTTGCTTTCCTTTTAGATCCTCTGTAATCATCGGTTTGTTCCGTGAGCTCGAGATCTGTAATCTTATCTGCAATTCCGAAAAGAACTTACATTAGATGTCTATACTGTTCAGATTTTGACACCAACTTGGTTGTAAGTACACAAGGCCACAAGGGTAATATCACAAAGCATCTTCACAAGCAATGGTTGTTGTTGGAAACAATAGTAGTAACTCGTCAGCAATGAGAGAACATAAGATTCTTCACCCACATGGGCAAAATTGAGAAAAAGAATACTCCTTCAGTGGACCCCCAAAATCAGCATTCGTTGTGTAGAAATTATTTTGCATGAAATAGGTGTATCAAACAAAACATGTTTGCCATTATAATGGGTGGAACCATCTCGATGCTTATATCTCATATTCTCATTAATAAATGAGATCCATCAAATTGAAATTACCCGGTTGGTGCAACTACAGTTCAACTGAATGAGATGGGATTAGGTGGGCAGGCTATTTTAAATGTGGTAGACAAAATATTGTTTACCATTTTTGGAAGTTGTGGCTTGTTAAGTGTAGGATTTATTAATTGGGAATGTGTGTAGGTCATCAGGAGCTAAACTAGCGATAAAATTCCACTTCAAATATCGGTAAAACCAGTTATTATATTTGCCAAAACTCAAACAAGATCCCTTGAAAAAAAGGATTATTCAAGGGTACACATCACTAATATGTATTTTAAACATTGTCATATGACACAATGCATTGCCAACTGACTATGCATTCACCTTTCAGACACAATGACTTTAGGGCGTGTTTAGTTCCACATCAAAATTGGAGGTTTGAAGAAAAAACTTGGAAGTTTATGTATGTAGAAAAGTTTTGATGTGATAAGCTATGCCTAATGAGAGTTTTTAAATTTGGAAGTTGGATAAGCTAAACTCTCATTTAGGAAAGTTGGAAGTTTGAAGAAAAAGTTGGGAACTAAACTCGGCCTTAATATGGCTTTCAGTAAAGGTAGCAACAAATCGTGGCACATGTCAACATCGTTACCACCTAGTATCATTTATAAGTGGGCAGTGGCAGCTCTCTGTACCTTCAAGATCTTTACTCATTAATTGGGATACATGCTGTCCTGAATACAGAACAGGGTAGCATCTCCATGACTGGGAAATATGGAGTATAAAGCAAAAACAGGCGAGTAGCTTTCAATTCAATATTGGAGACCATGTGTAGCTGCCCAGGCCCCAGAAGTCAATCAATTCCTTTATTGGTCAGATATATCAGTCACAACCACCATACTCAATAGTAGTAGGCTCTATCCAAGAAAGTTGAGTTCTGCCAGTTCTCAGATGTTGGTGAAGGTCGATTTCATCCCAACAAGACAAATACTTCTAATCCTCGGCTACAGAGGTACGTACTCAGATGTTGGTGAGGTTCAATTCCATCCAACAAGACAAATATTAGGTTTTCTAAAGGTGCAGCTTGCATCGTAAAAGTTTGCAACACAACTGCGTTCATATGTACTACTATTGATGGCCAATGATATCTATCCAGAGCATACTATTAGTGCGGTAGTGAACAAGGAAATTATAGTGTTATTTGAATGAAAATTTGCCTCTGGGCTTGCTAAGTATCTTCGAACTTATTTCTGAAGACCTAGAGTAAAGGATCTGAATTCATCTACTGTTTCTCACGCAATGATTTTTTTTTTCGTTTTGTAAATAGTGCGTCTAATCAGTTGTTGTTGCTAAGATTATAGTCAATCATACACCAAATTAATAACTGACAAGCCCATTTCCCAACAGAGACCTCTGCAGAGACTTTGCAAAAGACTAGAAAAATCTACATCCATTATTGTCAAAGGCCCATCAGCCTTGATAATGATATCCATGTCTATTGCATAGCTTATCAGAGTGAGATAGCCTCAAGTTAATTTGCTTAAAAGATATGAACTGGATCATATGGACCACTACCTTTGGAGGTATAAACCCTTAGCAATTTAAAAACTCTCATTAGGCTTTAAGCTAAAATAAGTGACACAGCTTTTGTCATTCAACCCAAAACACACCATTACTGGCCCAGATGCCAAATTTGGGAAGAACTAAAAGAGAAACAGATTAAAATTGTTATTACCTCAAGCTTGTCGTTTTCTTTTGAAAGCGCAGCGCAAGCTCTCTGCAAAGTACGCATCTCCTGCTCACAGCAAAACCAAGTACCAAACGGCAGTTAGTGAATTTGAAGTAGAATACATAATAAACTGCACATAGTAAAGAATGTGAGCATCACCTCACGGAGGCTGTCGTTCTCCACTGCAAGAGATCGCACCAGCTGCTGTACGTCCGGTAGCCTCTGCATATCACCAAAACAACCAAGCATTAAGACGAATTAAGCAACACCAGCAAGAGAACAGGCTTTGGCCCCCCAACAGTTCACAAGATTTGATCTTTTTGTTGGCTAGTACACCTTTGTGGCTTTGCCCTAAGATTCCACTTTTTGTTCAACCTCCCAGCCTTTCAAAGGGCAGGCCGAGATGTAGCAGCTTCTGCTTTATGCTAAACTAGTACAAATATGGCTCAACCACCACAAGAAGAACAACCCCGCCCTTTTCTCTTGTGATGATAGTGGCTTACTCCTCCGACCGGGTCAAGACTCAAAGACTCCTCTTTTGCCCTAGAACTAGTAAAGCGCGTACACAAATCCTAATACTTTTCCCAACACGTGACACACACACATACATTGCTTTGCAACTGTTTTTTGAGTGCCCTGCGCGCGTACGCACCACTCACGCTGGCCGTAGTACTACTATTCAAACAACCAAGAATGACCTACAGGGTTGCGAGGACAAAGGTGTGGTGGCTCACCATTTTCTTCCGTGGACGCTGACCGGCCGGCCGTAGAGGCGACGGCGCTGAGAATGGCAGTTGTTGCTGCCGACCCATGGCGCTAACCTACAGGGAGACGAACCAAACCATCTGTGAGTCATTTACACAAATCCAACCAATCAATCATTTTCCCTGAAAATCATATACAACATCCAAGAAAGCCACACTCGATGGTGGCAAGAACAAAGGAAGGACAGGACAGACACTGGTAGGTGGGCCCCACCCCCAACCACAGCTGTCCCAACGCATGATAGTCACAGGATCCCACATTATTAGTAAAAAAACAAAACATCAGTTATAATAAGCACGCTAATAGGAAAGGAACCCTCAGCTAAACCTACACCTAAACCATACCCTCCTCCATCTCTTTAAAAAGAAAAATCAAATTCTAATTATGAACTTGAACAAATCTTTAAATTGATTTATTTCGAGAACTGCATACGACCATCCATCCCATTCGCCGCGCAACCGCATGACGAACGAAGCTCAGCCAACCGCTACGACCACTGACTATTACATGTGGGCCCGGCTCACCTTTCCTCAAAGGGGAAAAAAAAGGAAAGATAAGAAAAGAAAAAACCCGACACAGGTCATCGACAGGTGGGGCCCCTCTCGCCGGCGCTCACGTCACCCACGTCGACCACCGCCTCCGCCGCGCGCCGCCGCCGACACGCGCGCGGGAGGTGGGCGCCCACGTGTCGCGGGCCCACCTAGCTTTGACTCTGTCCAACCGCGGGGGGGAGTGTGGCCCCCACCACCACCACCACGCTCCCACCACACGAGCAATTGCACCGGAGGATAAAAGGAGCACGGAAATTACCACCCTACCCCCGGAACAAGCGTAAGTGCGTAACCAATCCCCATTGGCCATGGTGAAGAGAGCGAGGGGCAGCATGGGAAATCCGCGTGCGCCGCACACCCACTTCGCCGAGTCCCTGAGTCAACCACAAACTCTACTACTTCCAGCCATACAACCACTGGACGAAAACAATCCGTGCTCGATTTCTTCCTGCGGCTGTTTGGTCTCGTCGTCTCGAGCAATTCCAATGTGGAATCCAGAATCTCATTTGTTCGTGGGGAAGCAATGCGGATCTGCGAGGCGGAAACGGGGATGGATGGGTGGGTTGCGTCCGTTGCAAGCAAAGAAGGGGGAACTGTATTATGGTAGTGGATGGTGAGATGGAGAATTGGCGAGGAGGAGGAGGAGAAGAAGGAAGGTGGAAAGGGAAGGGAAAGGGAAAGGCGGTGTCCAATTCACCAAGGGAAGGGAAGGGATTTTCGCCACTAGTAGGGGTAATTCCGTCACACGGTACAGAACAGAAGCGGAAAAGGGCAAAAAAAAAAACTCGGAAAGCAACATGGGGATAGGAGAGAGAGTAGTGGTGGGGGGAGGAGAAGAACCCAATGCAGCGGCGGCGGCGGCGGCGGAGGCGGCAAGACGGAGGTGGAAGGAGATGCGGGTGCAGTGTGAACGCACTAACCTTGGTCGTCGCCGGCGCGGGGCGGTGTCCGGGAGGCGAGCAGAAGGCGCCGTCCTCGCCGCCGCTGGTGGACGCGGCCGACCCGGAGCCAGAGCCAGACCCGGAGCCGGAGCCGCCGCTGTAGTCCAGCGGCGAGGCCGGGCTAGCCCGGGCCCACCTCCCCTTCTTCCCCGCCGCCGCCGCCACCGCCGACGGAGACCGGCGGCGCGACCGCTTCCCCCGCGTCACCGGCGGCCAGATCAGCTCCTCCCGCGCCGCCCCCTTGCTGCTGCTGCTGCACCACCACGGCGGCGTCCACCCCGCCAGGTCCGCCCCCCGCAGCGAGCAGATGATGCCCGCCGCCACCGCGTCGTCGTCCCCCGCACAATCCATCGCGCGCTCGCCGACGAATCCCCCGACCCCGGCGACCGTAGAGGAAGGTGGAGGTGGAGGTGGGTGGGGGAGAAGAGAATGGAATGGGAGAAGAAGAAACCAAAGCCGCGGCGTGGTGTGGTGTCTCGTCCCTTTTAAATGGTTGGGGGTGGAAGCGGAATAATAAAAAAATAGCCCAATCCCGCACCCACACGACACACACCCCGCACACCTACGATAGCTACCCTCCCCCACTAGCGGGGCCCACCTGAGTCACCGCCCACTGACACCCCTAGCCCCCACGTTTCCACAGGCCCCACCTCCCAGTGGCAAAGCGGAAGGGAGGTGGGGCCGGGTTGTCAGTGGGTGCAGGGTAAAGCGGCGAGGCGTACGCCGCAAGGTAAAGGAGGTGGGAGGAGCGGCGGGTGGAGACTGGAGGGTTGAACTGGAAGGGGAGGGAGTACTAGAGTAGAGTACTGGAGTGGGGTGGAGGTGGGGCCCACTTGTCGGTCACTGGGAGAGCTGCTACTAACTTAAGCGGGCGAATGCAACAGTGGTCGGGATTCGTGGCTCGGCGCGGGCAGGAGGACCGCCGTTTGTGTTCGCCCGTGTGGGGCCCTGGTCCCACCTGGCAGTGACGGTGGACAGGAGGACCTCCAAAGTCTGGGGCTTTTAACTATTTGCCACTTTTAGATTTGGCAAATAACTATTTGTCACCCCTATTTCAATGACATATGTCCACATGTGTCTATAACATGTGGGTCTAGTGACAAAAGGTTAATTGCCACATTTATATGTGGCAAATGGTTAAATATCTCCCAAAGTCTGGACGGGCAAGACGGCTGTGCAGCGGAATGTGTACTGCTTGGAATACTGTTTAGAGCAAAGGAAAGTCATTAGAATTTTGCTAGTCCTAGTACTGCTGTAACAAGTTTGAAATGATCTTGAACTAAGGCCCCGTTTACTTCCCCAATTTTTTTTTTCCAAAAACATCACATTAAATCTTTGGACGTATGCATGTAGCATTAAATATATATTAAAAGAAAAACTAATTACACAGTTAAGGGGGAAATCACCAGACGAATCTTTTGAGCCTAATTAGTCCATGATTAGCCATAAGTGCTATAGTAACCTATAAGTGCTAATGACGAATTAATTAAGCTCAAAAGATTCGTCTCGCGGTTTCTATGCGAGTTATGAAATTAGTTTTTTCATTCGTGTCCGAAAACCCCTTCCGACATCTGGTCAAACATCCGATGTGACACCCAAATATTTTCATTTCGCGAACTAAACAGCCCGTAACAATTTCAGCTGAAACATGATTTTAGAGTTGAAAAAATACTAACTTCTTTCAAAATCTGGTATCTCAGGCTAGCTGTGGACATTTAGGCTGTGCATCCACACTTTCCCAACTTTACTCTCGCGATTTTCTCCCTAACTGTGTAATTAGTTTTTTCATTTATCTACATCTAATGCTTCATGCATATATCCAAAGATTCGATGTGATGTTTTTGGGAAAAATTTCTGGGGAACTAAATGGGGCGTAAACACACCCTAAGGTGTGAAAAAGTTTATATAAAAGGGTAAGATGATTGATTGGTAAGGTGATTGTTTTAGGATTGTATTTTTTTTAAAGAAAAGAACGGATTATAATCTTTATAGGGCATAGAATGTACTCTCTCCGTTTTACGTTATAAGACGTTTTAAATTTAGTCAAAATCAAACTACTATATTACTACTTTTTTCTATAGAGTTAGTTAAACTTAGAGTAGTTTGACTTTGATCAACGTCAAAACGTCTTATAACATGTAACATATGATTTTTTTCCCCTTAACGTGCTCATAGGTCAGCCCAACATCGGATTTGTTTGTCAATTGTCATAGGTCAGCCTTGTTCATAATTGCTTGTTGGCAGATTATTGGTCCAGATTGTTTACTCCACTCTTGTAAAAAAAAGTTTCTTCGAACATTATTCTGCCGCATTTAGACCACTCTGTTCCTAGTTGCTACTCCTACTGTTTATATTTTTAAAGTTTGTTTTCAAAATATTAATTTACCGTGTTAATTAATCGAGTGAATCATCCATTTCATTTCTCCCTAACCCATGCTGCTAGAATTGAATAGATATATATACCGGGTCAAACAGCGCCGATGCATGCAGATATCTCGAGGAAAGTTGAAAACTCCATGTGGGTCGCTTGGTCAAACAAAGTCCAGGCACACGCGTATCTCTTCTTTCTCATTTTGAGCCCAGATTGCTACTAGAAGATCAGAAGGGGGTGGCAATAGCCAATTCGTCCTAGAGTTGAACTTGTCATGGTAAACTGGTAATGGCCAAAGTTTAGTTCCAAAGTTTTTCTTTAAACTTTAAACTTTTTCATCACATCAAAACTTCTCTACACACATAAACTTCTAACTTTTCTACCATATCGTTTCAATTTCAATCAAACTTTCAATTTTAGCGTGAACTAAACACACACAATGTCAAGCGCTAGCTGGCGTCTGGAGAATGTGTAGTACTGTAGTGGTCTCGCCGGGGGTTGACTGCTGATCAGATCATTTGAGCTTTTAGGCTCTGTGTTTCCCATTGGCTGTAGCTATTTTTTTTTAGAATCTTCGTATTACTACCTTCGTCCCAAGACGTTACAACTGAATAACTGATTACACATCCTTTTTTAAATTGTAATATTTTGAGATGGATGAATATATGTCCTTACCTATTTCTTAAAGAAATTATAATATTAAAGATGAACCTGGATCAAATTCATCCATAGGATTTAATTTATTTATAGAGTGAGTAGACTCTAAGAATCTTCTCAGAAGCTACATAGTACAAACAAGCTGTTTTGCAAAAATTTAAGTCCCCAAACAAGGTATTAGGTTGAGTTCTAAACATTTTGGGGGTGTTTAGATCCAGGGGTATAAAGTTTTAACGTGTCACATCGAGTATTATATAGGATGTTCGGGCACTAATAAAAAAACTAATTACATAATCTATCAGTAAACGGCGAGACGAATTTATTAAGCCTAATTAATCCATCATTAGTAAATATTTACTGTAGCACCACATTGTCAAATCATGGAGCAATTAGTCTTAAAAGATTCGTCTCGTAAATTAGTCGCAATCTGTACAATTAATTATTATTTAGCCTATATTTAATAATTTATATAAGTGTTCAAATGTTCGATGTGACATGGTGTAAAATTTTTTGTGTGGTAACTTACCCTATACCAGTACAACCGTATAATGCAGAGCGGCTTTCACATGCACATAGGAGTAGCGGCAGTAGGTGTTCTGAACCAAAATCGCAGAAGTATGCGACTGACAAAAGATCAGGCTGACACACATGAATATTACTACCTCCGTCCCAAAATAGTTTCCGTGCTCAACTTTGATCGTCCGTTTTATTTGAAATTTTTTTATAATTAGCATTTTTGTTGTTATGAGATGATAAAATATGAATAGTACTTTACTCGTGACTTATGTTTTTATTTTTTTTCAAAAAAATTTCAAATAAGACGAATGGTCAAAGTTGGGCGCGGAAAACCATAGCTGCACTTATTTTGGGACGGAGGGTTCCTGTGATACATTATAAAGTGTCTAGATTCATTGTATTAGGATAGGGTTGGTTAATTTTGAGACACAATAAGTAGTGTAGTAAGTGTACTCGTGTCCAGATTTACTGTATTAGAATGGGGTTAGTTAACTTTGAGACAAATAATAAGTACTGTAATAAGTGTACTCGTAGCTGCGTAGGCGTAGACCGTGTCGAGCCCTCACTCATCCGGCCCCTGACCACGATTAGACCGCTGAGCGGCTCACCGTACCGTACCATTTCTCGCGAGACCCCCGTACGTGTACCGGTCTGTACTAAGTACACTGTACACTGTTTGCTGCTACAGCGTCTCCTAACCGCATCATTAAGCCATTCCCCTTTCTTCAAACACGTCATTAAGGGAGGCATTAACCAACTGCTTCCATTCCATTCCATGCAATGCAACCAGTACAAGTTTACAACTACTTTTCGGTTCATTGAAATTAATCAAAAAATCATATGAAATAATTCGTACTGGTGCGTTTTGAAGCTGTATCCATACATAATTTCATCGTAAGGGTCTTGGTAGGATTTTGCATACGAATTTGTGGTGCTATTGAAGTTTGTGATTTTGTGGCCATGCATGGATCGTTCGCGTGCAGAGGAGATCAGAGAGTCTCTGTAACCTGTGATCTCAAGTTTTAAGACGAGATCGACTGAGACCAAGCAAATGTTGCACCAAGCTGAGGCCGTGTTTAGTTTTCCCCATATTCCCAACTTTCCATTATATCATATCACATCAAAAACTTTTTTACACACATAAACTTCTAGTTTTTTTTCTAAACTCTCAACTTTCTTCAAACATCTAATTTTTTTCAGGATCTAAACACACCCTGAGTCGACGAGCAGCGCGAATTGAAACCGCGGTTGTTATCGCCGCCAGCCACACGTACACAGCCAGTGACCCTATCAATTCTTTTAAAAAAGATTAAAGTTGTGATAAGTTTTGTTCGATTTTTTTCAGTGTTTATCATGGTTTTTATGCGGTTATCGTGATTACCAAGCTTCCTACCAAGATACGATACCGATACGATACCTCTACTCGGACCTATACGATACCTCTACTCGGACCTCGGGGATGAAGCCAGGTCAGTGTGGGGCAGCTTTGGCTCGAGCTTTACACCTGGTAGAAAAATTTGCGTTAGCATATATTATTAATTGTAAGTTAAATTTTAAATACAAAATTTATGCTTCATAGTTAAGCTCTATGCTTAAGATACCCCCTATAAACCCTGGAGAAATATGTACGTGCCCTGGTGGTGATGGGCTGTCCAGCCCATGGGCCGGAGCCGGACAAAGATTTCGGTCCGGCCCAGTACACCGGCCTTGCAGATCCGTAATTCGGTCCAGTACCGGTATCGCGACGAAAACGATCGTCAGTGTGTAATTCCACCAAACAAATTTTCCACTCTAAAATCCTTCTTTTTTCCCCATACATCCATCTTCTCCATCCGTTTCTAAATAACCGACAATTTTAACTTTTCTATTTAAATCTTGACCATTAGTTATTCTCAAATTGTTTGACCATTAGTTAATACAACTAATCCACTTTAATAACATGGCATCATTTCTAGTACTGTGTAAACAATCAAGGAAAACACAAAGATGAATGGTCCAAGTTCAAAAATGAATAGTGCTTATTGTCAATTACTCCCTCTGTTCAGATTCGTTGTATGTCCCATCGAAGTACTAGATTAAGTCTTTTTGGGACGGAGGGAGTATTTATAAACAGAGAGTATTTTCTTCCACGCTAATTTAAGAATAAAACATTTATATTTTGTTTTATTAGCGGTTTAAAACTCTTGACTAGAAAACAGACCACGACGAAGAAAACCCTCCAAAATTAACTTTAAAAGTTCCAAATTCTAAAATTTAGCTGCAGCTAATAAACTAGTAATAAACATACCTCGAAAACATTCTGTAACGTACGTACCAGTACTACGTAAGAGTACACATGGGTGACTAATCACCCGATTTGACGCAGTAATTACACGGTGACACAATCTGTAATGTACTTTCTTTGTAGAAACACAGTACAGACACGGTAATCTATAATGTACTACTGCTGCGTGACTGCAACATCATTTGGTAGTGACCTGACAAGATAAAGTCATCACCGAGATAATGTAGTTTCAAAGCTTGTACTGGTACCCGTGATTCTTGATCAATGACTGATAGTATCTCCTCCGTTTCATAAATGTAAGTCATTATATCATTTTCTATATACATATTGATGTTAATGAATCTAGATAGATATATATGTTTAGATTTATTACCATTAATGAAATGCTAGAATGACTTACTCCCTCCGTTTCACAATGTAAGTCATTCTAGCATTTCCCACATTCATATTAATATTAATGATAATGAATCTAGACATATCTATCTATCTAGATTTATTAACAATAATATATATATATAAATGATAGAATGACTTATATTATGAAACGGAGTAAGTTCTACAATACACTGCGTGTAAGCATTTGCAACAATCACCCGTGCCGGCCGGTCTGCTTAAGCCACTGCAATTAATCCCAGCAAGCAACAGCCTAACTAATAACGTGACGCTTCACTCGCGTCATCCACAACGTAATTAGTAGTACATATATATCCACCATTTTGTTGAGTGTCAGACTTGTTCATGTTTATGTAAATTTATAGGAAAAAGAAATGTATTCCCTCGGTTTCAGTTTGTTAGTTGTTCTGGCAAATCTCATAGTACTAAATTAAAAGGTGTGACCTATTATATTGCTACCCTCAGCATCTCTAATTATCTTCCCAGAGGTAGCAATTCATTTTTTTTTCTGTTAGTACTACTACTACTGCTATATTAGTGAAGGGTATGAAAGGAAATACATATCTAAAAAGATATGGAATATCAGAACGGCAAGTATTTTAACAAAAAAAAAACTAAATGTTACTCCCTCCGTTCCAAAATATAAGCATTTTTTTAACATAGTATTCGAGATATTACTTTGATCAACACTATCTATAAAAATAGAATGTTTTAAATAAAAAGAGTTTGTTTAATGATAAATATAGTAAAATCAATTTTACATAATTGATATTTTTAATTTTTTTTATATTAATAGTCAAAGTAAAAAATATTTGACGTGACACTATGTTTAAAATGCTTATATTTTAGGACGAAGAGGGTATGGTAAACTAGAACAACATCTCTAAAAGTTTTGAACGACAAATAAATTAGAACGAAGGGACCTTCAATATTTTCAACATAAAAGCAAATATTGGATTTAATAGAATTAATTTGATGTTGCACGTATTGTTAGTATTATGTACCAACACTAATATAGTACTTGACTAGAGTAGCTATCCACAGTAGTAGGTCGTTCAATTAAATCAACAACTAGGCCCTTCATTAACTAATTGGACCATATACTTATCCTCCCAACCGTCAGACGGTTGGAGCGTATGGATCAACGGCTCAGATCGATCAGCAGCTTAGCCACTAGCTTAGCCAGTTGCCGTGTGACTGCTTCTGACAGATCACAAATGCAACAAAATTGCCTGGTCCCCTGTACATATGCATTCCATTCTGGCTTTGCAATGTTTTGACATTGCTGATTGTCACTGCCAGAAGACCTGGCAATCACTCACTAGAGTCTGGAGACCATCTGCAGATGCATATGCATGATCTGGCCTACACAAAGATCACAACATCATCTCAACATGTTCTTGTTTTATAGTACCAAAAGGTGTCACCTAATCATTCAGGTAGTATTATTTTTACTGTGCTAATCACCTGGATTGTTATCTCAATCTAGATGGATTGGTCGAGGAAGCATCATAGTACATGTATATATAAAAATTACTATCAAGGTGTACTTCATGTGTACTCTGCTGTTGATTATGATTATAGGCGTTTGAGATGAAAAGTTGCATGTTTTTTTCTGCAGTTTGAAGCGAAAACTTGTCCGAATACGGCAGTGTTCAGCGTGTACGTGTGGGTCATACACCCTTACGACCATCTGATAATCCAATTTACAAATCGTATAGGAGTATGTTTCATATTGCCAATTTAAATTTTAGTCTGATTTTACAGAAGAAAAAAAAACCCAGCTACACTTCCCATTGCACAAGCCACAACTAGAGTTTTCTGAACATTTTAATTAACAGAATTGCTTTGTTCTGCATCCATCTGAAAGAAATAAAAATAAAATAAAATGCTGATTAAACCCTGACACTGTAAAATCTAAACATGATTAGCGAAAGAGAAACACCGACAGAGAGTTGTACTAGTAGTACTACCTGTGGAGTCTCATCCTCTTAACAAAGCCTGTCCGTGCGTTCGAAATCGAAATGAATCGCTGCCGAATTTAATTTGGGCGATCATTCACTAGGTGACAGTGGAGATAGATGGAACATTTCTTTCATGGGTGAGATCGATTCAATGCTCAGTTGATGATGATACTTAAGCTCGGTTTTAAACTCCATCGAGAGGAACAATCTCAACTGCCGTTTGCTCTCCCGTTGAAACGCCGCGGTTTTTGTGTCGTCAGGAGTTGGTAGCAGCTGCAAAAAAGTCTTAACTACTCTAGTTAATTACTCCACTTATTTATATGTTCAACCGTTATTTCAAAACAGCATCTATAACGTTTAGGCTGTGTTATTCCCCCTTCTTTTCCGACTCACCTTATTTTCTTTACCGCGTGCACGTTTCTTAAAATATTAAATATTACGTTTTTTTAAAAAAAATTCTACAGGAATTTTTTTTTAAAAAAATTATATTAATATATTTTTTTAAAAAAATATCAATACTTAATTAATTATACGCTAATAAGTAGTACCGGAGGGATTAGTTCCCAACTCACTCCAACGAACTTAGCCTTAGTATATCAAACTAGTGTTCAAATCCATATGAGTCTTACAGAACCTAAACTAACAGCTCCTCCATCATTTACTCTTCAGCTTATCAACCGTAATTATCAAAATTTAAATTTGAAAACTTAATTTTATAGGAGTAGTTGAATTTGATTTTTTTCATCGTCATTTATTTTCTAGCATTGGGTTATATAAAAGTTTACCCACAAATTGTTTAAGAGTTTTAGCTTATGATCAGACCTGATAAGATATCGTCTACATTTTAAGGAAGACCTTACAACAAAGTCGCGCGGAACAATTCTAAATCGAACTAAATACTGTGAAAATCATGCGAATTTAATGGAGGCTTGAACTCAAAATACACACGACCAAAATATGTCAAAAAATTTAAACTTTGTACGCATGAAATTCGCCAGTTGGCCAGAGAGCATTGTGCACTGAAGATGAGGAGGTGGGCCGGAATGGAAGGAGGGAATCACGGAGAGGGCACGAAAACTGAAGTTGGTGTGGCTCTGCCCTGCCCTGCACTGCACATGTACTATCACCCCCATTCAACACCAACTCTCTCTCTCTCTCTCTCTCTCTCTCAATCTCTCTCAAATGAGCTGATTTCAGTGCTCACCATCCCAACAAGAAACAATGCACTGCCTTTTGGCAACTGCCACATGACTGTTTTTCTCCCTTTTTTTTCTTCTTATTTTCTTCAGAGATCAACCCTGGTAGTACTAGCAGTAGTAGGAGTAGTAGTACAAAAACTACACCAATCCATACAGTCCGTGCACCAAAAGCCTTTTGCCTTTTTCTTCCTCCCTCTCCTCCTCCTCCATTTCCCAAGATCAAGAAAGAAACAGGCTGCTTGTGCAGACAAATCGTTGGTTTGGGTTGAGTGCACACGAGGATCAAGAGGGGAGGAGAGGAAGAGGACAACCTGCTGGTCACAATATCTGCATTAGTTTTTTTATCTTTGGATTCCCTGGGTTTTCATGGTATCTTGTCAGAGAGGCACAGAGGCCTTTGTGTTCTTGCTGTTCCCTTTGTCTTCTCCACTTCTCCTCCTCTTCAGCCAGCGAGGTGAGTGAGTGAGAGAGAGGGTCAATGCGATGCCACCGCCGCCATTGACGCCTCTCTCCTCCTCCTCCTCCCGCTTCTTCTTCTTGCTGGTGCTGGTGCTGGTGCTGAGCTGCTCGTTGCCGGCCAATGGGAGGACTCACCGGTCGCCGGCGGCGGCGGCCTCGCCTTCTCCTGGACCGGGGCCTTCACCGGCGCCGGCGACACCGCGGGTTGTTCCCCCTGCTCCGGCTCCGGCTACCGGAGGTGGAGGTGGAGGTGGAGGCATCTTCTCCTCGAATGGCAGCCTCGCCGTGACTCCCGCCGCCGCCGCCGCCGCGGTGGCGCCTTCTCCTCCCTTGGGTAGGTTGGCGGCTGTTACAGTTGGATCAAAGATTGCGTTTTCTTTTTTCTTTTTTGTCTATGTGTTTTGGTGTCCTGTCGCATTGCTGAATTTTGTGTTCTCTGGCTAATTTTTTTAAAAAAATTTAGGGAGAAATTTTATCGATGTTTCCTTCACCCATTTCTGAGAAATTCCCGTGCTGATTTGGTGGGAAACCCGTGTTGTTTCTTTTGGAGATATGGGGTAAAAAGTGCGCCCTTGGGATCCTTTGGTTTCTTCCAAGTTTGAACAAAGCGCATAACTTTAAGTGCCGTCTCGTGAACTTGGGTACGAATTGGAATTGAATATATGTGCTCGTTCTTTTTAGTATGGTGAACTTTGCCCAATCTTGGGAAAGAAACAAAAAAGTGCATTCTTTCGAAAGGAAAAAAGAGAAACAAAAGATGCTCCAATATATTTGCCTCAAAATTTGGTTGTAGGAAAGAGAAGTTGCTTTTTCTTTCTTTTTTTTTTTCAATCTTGGGGGTTCTCCAAATTTTGTACATAAAAAGTTTTACCTAAAAAATTCAAAGGCATTTCTTTTGCAAATGAGCAGCTGGCCTAGTAGCTGTTCATCTTCTCGAATTGGTTCACTCAAACACTTAGAGTGCTCTAATCCACCACCCTTTGGTTTGCTTCTATGCTTCACAGGTGCAGTGGCAGCAATGGAGCAGAGGCAACACCATCATTTCCACAAGGAGCTTATCATTGCCATTGGCCTTGCATCCGTCGCCGGCATGGCGATCGTCGCCACCGTATTGTATGCCTGCATCCTGTGCCGGCATTCTCACCGAGCCCATGACTCCAAGAACATCCGAAGCAGCTCAGGTTTTGAATTGGGCCCTTTTCTTTGCCCTGCCCAGACTGGTTCATGTATCCTTGTTGGCTTGTCTTGTTTGTCCATGAAAATCTCATAGCTACTGAACTTACTACTTTGCATTGTTCAGATACCGCAAGGGTTGCGTTGGTGCCGATGCTGAACAAGTTCAACTCAATGAAGACTAACAAGAAAGGACTTGTCGCGATGATGGAGTATAATACACTTGAGACGGCGACCGGGAAGTTCAGTGAGAGCAATTTGCTTGGAGCTGGTGGGTTTGGGTGTGTGTACAAGGCCAATTTTGAAGGAGGACTTGTTGCTGCCGTCAAGAGATTTGGCCACAGGGGACAGGACTGTGAGAAGGAATTTGAGGTTGGTGATTGTTTATGTCCATGGCCTGAAATTTGTTCTTGATGAGACTTGTCTTGTTGCTAAGATTGTTTTTGGTTACCTCTGAATTGGCAGAATGAGCTAGATTTACTTGGCAGTATTCGGCATCTGAATATAGTGTCCCTTTTGGGCTTCTGTATTCATGAAGAGAACCGTTTCATTGTTTATGAGCTGATGGAGAATGGATCACTGGAAGCACAACTTCATGGTACCTTCTAATTTGCTTTGTTCTTCATTTGTTTCCTCAGAATTGTGAGTATGATCAAGGAGAAGTATCCATTTTTAATCTATTTGTTTGTTTCTAGGACCATCACATGGGTCGGCTCTAAGCTGGCACATTCGGATGAAGATTGCTCTTGACACAGCAAGGTTACCATCCATTTTTATTCACTTTGCATGATTAAATATATTTTTATACCGTTATCATTGATTCCTATCATATGCGTCTGTCAACTAAATTAACCAGGGGATTAGAATATCTTCATGAACACTGCAATCCACCAGTTATCCATAGGGATCTGAAGTCATCTAACATACTTTTAGATTCAGATTTCAATGCTAAGGTATGCCTGCTTATCTTAGTTCTTGTCAATTAGAATATTACTGTCAATCGTAACACATATCACTGATCATCTTTGGTTTGCAGATTTCAGATTTCGGCCTTGCAGTGACCAGTGGGAATCACAGCAAAGGAAGTTTGAAGCTTTCTGGGACATTGGGCTATGTAGCTCCCGAGTACTTGTTAGATGGTATGCCCTCTCTTTTCTCATGTCCCACCTGTAATCGTCTATGTAGACTAACTCTCATGTCCCACCTGTAATCGTCTATGTAGACTAACTTTTTTCTCACATTAACATCTAATTTAATTATCTGCAACCGCATGAAATTCAGGGAAGTTGACTGAGAAGAGTGATGTATATGCGTTTGGAGTAGTACTTCTTGAACTTCTGTTGGGAAGGCGGCCTGTTGAGAAGACAGCACAATCTCAGTGCCAGTCAATTGTTACATGGGTACCCAACATTCTGATACTTGACATGTTGAATTTAGTTCAATTAAAAAACAGTCATTCTCTCGATATGCATAGAATATTTTTAAGCTTCATCTCCTGAATCCAGGTGGTTAAGTTAAATTTTCCTAATCCATTGGCATCTGACATATGGAAATCAAATGCAGGCCATGCCTCAGCTAACTGACCGATCAAAGCTCCCTAACATAATTGACCCCATGATCAAGAACACAATGGATCTGAAGCACTTGTACCAAGTAAACTCCCTCTTAATTTCTATCTTTATCCTCACAAATCTTTTCAACTAATTCAATTTGTGTGATTCGCTACTTCGCAGGTTGCTGCGGTGGCTGTGCTCTGTGTGCAGCCAGAACCAAGTTACAGGCCACTAATCACAGATGTACTCCACTCTCTGATTCCCCTAGTCCCCATGGAGCTTGGAGGGACACTGAGGATTTCCCCGGAATCACCTTGCGCAACTCGAAAGCAGTCTCCCTGTTGAGAAAGAAAAGGAAATGCGTGATCGGAATGCGGTGATTCAGTGAGTTCATATCACCCAAGTGGTTCGGATAACTTATGGTGTTGAGTGCAGGTTATTGTTTCTTGCTTGAATTGCCTTCATTGGTGCTTGCCTGAGGTTGAGTGTGCTCTCCTAGTGACCTTCAACTTGTTGATTCATTTCATAGATTTTCGGGGTTTGCGTAGGCTGTATAAAGAAGCAAGTAAAGAGTGTTCCCCCCTTCCCCCCCCCCATTGGATCTGATTACTGCTGTAAATATTAAAGATTTTCATACTGTAACTCAATAGCATTGAAGAAATCTTTGGCCATGCTCAATGTGCCACATTGTGTCTTACACTCACATATATGGTGTCTACTGATTCGCATACTTATTTTCCCTTTAAAATCAAGTTTTATGCGTGATGAAGAACAACATTCGAGTTAGCATTTGAAGAATCCTAGAAACAAAAGTGGCAATTGAAGAATGAAATCAGATGTCAGTTTGTATGGTTCTAAAATTACTTCATCCATCTTTTTCCTTTGTAGACTCTGGTGACCTTGAGCTCTCTGGTTCAAGTAAATTTCCTCACCTTCTTAACCTTGTCCACTTCTAGTTCAAGCTAGTGATGGGCTATGAGTCTTGTACAGAATGTTTTAAGTAGTAGATTGTACAAAGAATAATGATTTGGTAGGTGTAGTGAGTAGTGTGACCTCCACTTACTGTACTTTGTGAATAGAGACATCTACTATTCTGCTGTCTTATTCACAATGGCAATGTACTTTTCAACATGACCAAACTAAAGGTTAGCTGGTACAGTAGTATAATCTAGCAGGCCCACTCGTCAGTGAAACATATTGCATTGAGGTAATAGCTGGTACAGGAGTATATGTCTCAGTTCTCAAATATCAAATGGAATCACAATCACTGGTAGATTAACTAACCCTTTTCAAATCCAAGTCTAACTAACCCTTTTCAAAATCCAAGGATCTATACATGGCTAGGAAAAACAAAGTGAACTAATGAGCATGTGCATATTAGGTAGGAAATTAATCAAGACAATATCATAATATCATATGGTTGCATTGTCATTGGATGCAAGAAAAAGAGCCATGTAATATTGTAGCAACTTCAGTGTAATGACCCATGGGGACATGTCTGCGCATAATTAGATAGTATTTGATGAGGTTAGTTGGAGACCACACATCCATACCTGCTTTAGCAAGTAGGGATTAATGTGACACTGCTGGTTATGTCTTCTTGGACCGAATGTATAATTATTGGCATCAATGGTGCTGGGGGGCAGAGCACCACGGTTTCTTGTCTTTGTCTGGAATGTCTCATTCTACCTGAAAGGCAAGTGAGTTGTTCATGCAAAAAGTCCAAGAGATTATGCTTAAATTTAATTGACTGTTAGCTTAGTCATCCCCCCTTTCCCACTTAACCTCCATGCATGTATAGTGTGTTATGCTTAATTTATGTTCAAGTCTTTTATTTAGATTATATTTCTAAGAAAGGCAAATGAAGATTGTTAGAGGAATTTTCTGCCAAATTTCAAAAGGATACACTTTTTTGGCCTTTTCATGGAATTGTGGAGCTTGGGTCATCACAAAAATATATAAAACAATTCTAGAGGAGGATATTCTCCTACATTCATCGGCAAGCGAAGAGAGCTTCAAAATTAGTGTGATAAAGTCTAATGTAGATGTGTTTTTTAGTAGTACATTCATTTCTCCAATCTCTCTGTTCATGTTCTTGCTTATCAAGCTTGAGAACATTATCAGTTTACCATCCAAGAATTGTTAAGTCTTGAAATACACTTTAAAATTTTAGAGTAGCTTTGGATTATACTCCCTCCATCTAAAACATAGCTACTTATACTATTCACATTTTATTGCAAAATATACCTATTTCTATAGTATCAAGGGTGGTCTATATATAGTCATAAAATATTCAAAATACTCCATATCTCCACAACCTCAGTGACTTCCAACCGACTATTTACTTTTTATCTTTTCTTTAATTTCGTTGAAAAACAAAAAAAAACTATATTTTGAGATAAAATGGATTGGTCAATTCCAAAGATAAAATAATCTAGTACTACCTATGTCTCAAAATAAAATAAGTTTTTTTTTCTAGAATTAGAACTAAAACTTATTACTCCTATATTTTAGGAGTATAAAATAGTTGGTACAATCGTACAAGCTTCTTGACTGGAAGAGGTACTCAATGCATCTGATTCATTTAATTTCTTCACGTGCATATGCTGGATTATCTCAAGTTAATCTCACGTCGTACTAGTAATCTAGTACTAAGTATAATGCGCCTCAAATCGTCCTTGCATCTGAGGATTGCAAGCTTCAGTTGCGTACTAGTACTAGTAGCAAATATGTTGGACCATTTGAAATGCAAATAATTTTAAATTGCAGTAGAGTAAAAGCAAAGCAATTAACATGGCATGTCCAGTTGAGTTAGCACAGAAAAGCTCAAATACAGAGAAGAATAATACATATGAATTCCAGCATCATACTACCATTCGTTTTATTTATTCTGTTGTGAGTTGTTTTACAACAATTTATATCTTATGCATATATATAAAATTTCTGAATAAAATAAATGGTTAAACGTGTTCTAAAAGTCAATGGGGTTATCTATTAAAAAACGGAGTGAGTATGATATTTCCCACAAAGTCCATATGGATGTTTCTCCAATACCACTCCATCCAATGGCAAACCAAATTTCAGGGGATTTGAGCATAATTGCGTAATCTCTCTTATCTTTTTATTTTTCTTTAAAAATGGCCTGCAAAAAATGTAAACCCTTATTATGGGCAGGGCCCACGAGATAATCTTATGTTTATACGGGCCTCACAAAACTGGGCCTCTTAGCGGCGTCAGGCCTATCAGTAATGGGCTGGATTTTGGGCCCATGTACGTATCCGTATCTGGTACAGTTCACTTCTCTATACATCACACTCGCCGCTTGTTTTTTTTTCTTTAATTATTTTTTTTCTCTCGCTCGCCGGAGACCAACCGGAATCGCCGCGCGCCGCCGCCGCCGCCTCCTCGCCGTCCGCCGCAGCCGTCGAGCCCATCGGCGCCGGTCATGTCGGTGAGTGCCCCCCGCGATCCCCCTCCCCCTTCTCCGCTCCCACAAAACCCTAGCGTCTGATCCGCGGCGATGGCGGGGGATTTGGGGTTCGTGTCGCTGCAGATCTTCGAGTACAACGGGAGCGCCGTGGTGGCGATGGTGGGGAAGAACTGCTTCGCGATCGCCAGCGACCGGCGCCTCGGGGTGCAGCTGCAGACGGTCGCCACCGACTTCCAGAGGGTGTTCAAGATCCACGACAAGCTCTACATCGGCCTCTCCGGCCTCGCCACCGACGCCCAGACGCTGTGGGTGTCCCGGAACTCTCGGATTTTGCTCTAGAACCGGCGTATTGAGTTGCTTGTTAGTTAGGGTTTTGGGGGGGTTTTGATGTGCGCCGTGTGTTTGCAGGTACCAGCGGCTGGTGTTCAGGCACAAACTGTACCAGCTGAGGGAGGAGAGGGACATGAAGCCCCAGGCATTCGCTAGCCTCGTCTCCGCGCTCCTCTACGAGAAGAGGTTAGAATGCTCACTAGCCCTGTTTGAAGATATGATGATATGATGATGATCGCGTTCTAAGTAACTGGTTCATGTGTAAGATGAGTAGGAAGTAATATTTGCTTTACTGAATTGTGAAATTCCTGTGCAAAGTCGTTCTTACATGCCTTGTATTAGTTGTATTATGTTAATTCTTATATCAACTTGATGAAAATTGAGAATCATTGCTGCTATTCGAGTGGGGCTAGTGATTGATATGATTTCCTCTGATCTGTAGGGCAAGATATTAGCTATTTAGCTTTGATTCTCACTGTGCTGAAGCCATTGTGTAAAATTCTTGTTTTTGGTTATTGCACATCCTTAACAACCATCGTGTAAAATTCTTGGTTTTGGCTTAACACATCCTTTACATCATATGTGATTCACAAATCCTATCTTTGAATCATTCATCATTCAAATAATCAAATGTACAAGGAAGTTTTGTAAACCTATGGTATTTCTGTTATTGTAAACTCACAGATCTCGTCTTATTTTGTATTTTCTCTCTCCATTGACTTAACTATGCAAACAGCTTATAGAATATTTCCATGGTATAGGTTTGGGCCGTACTTCTGCCAACCAGTTATTGCTGGATTAGGAGATAATGATGAGCCATTTATATGTACCATGGATTGCATTGGTGCCAAGTATGTATCACTTATATTCTCTCGTCTCATTTTAGTCGTTTACTAAATTTATTGTCCAAAATTCAACTGATCTGAAGTTCTCAACGGTACCATAAACAATGTATTATTGGTATAATGATAAATATCATACAACCCATACCCCTTGGGAGTGTGTGTAGGAGTAAATAATCTCATATTTAATACTTCTAGTTTAGTCTTAATTTTTCAAGTTGAATCTCAGGTTAAGTTTGATTATGCTTGTCATTTCCATTCATTTGCTCATATACGTAGCCATTTAGGTGATTTAAGAGGGTTTGTCTTGATTGTAGGGTTTAATAGCAGCCCTACAAAAAGTCACACCGTTAACTTAGTATAGCTGTATTCTTCCCAACTTCCTATTTTCCTCTTCACGACAAATCTCAAGCCTCTTAGTAACACACTGTTAATTTAGATATAGCTGTATTCCATTCTCAAACTTTATCCTACCTTCGTCTTCACTGTAAGTCTCTAGCCTCTTAAAAACACAGTAGCATTTGATGATACCTATCTTTTCACTTTGTACCATATGCTGATTTACTGCCTTGTTTTATATTTTTAAGGTTCATACTAATCAAAGGTGATTCTTGTAAGCAGGGAACTAGCGAAAGATTTTGTGGTTTCTGGCACTGCTTCAGAATCACTATATGGTGCTTGTGAGTCCATGTATAAGCCAAGCATGGTTAGTTTACATGAAAACTATCTGCAGAATGGTATTTTACTTATAGTTTGGTCTCCTTGAGCACTGTAAACATGACATTTTTCTGTCACAATTTTCTTTGGTGAAGGAACCGGAAGAACTATTCGAGACGATCTCACAAGCGCTGCAGGCTTCTGTTGATCGAGATTGCCTGAGTGGCTGGGGTGGTTATGTTCTCCTTGTGTAAGTTCCATATATGATCATTTTTCACTCACACTAAACATGGGAGTTTAGATGAAAACTCTAATGCTGTCGTTGTCCTTACTGAATCTGTGAAATTTGTTTTCCTGGCTTGTTGGTTAATGCAGGACTCCCACAGAGGTTCAGGAGAGAGTGATCAAGGGAAGGATGGACTGAGTGCTCGCCCGTAGACCTAGATCGCGTAGGGGATGGTTCGTTCGTTCGATCGATCGATTATCCTGTACAACTGCCTACAGAACTAGGAAAACATGTGTGGTCTATTTACTTCTCAAGAAACATCACAGCATGAATGGTATCACCGTTGATTCCTTATCTTCATACCCCTCAGGGTTCTTCTGCTTTCCTTCACATAGCATGGAATTATTAAACATGCTCTTGCAGCACAACCGTGCAAGAAACCGCAAGAAGCTTTGGCCTGCTTGGCTCAGGTGACAAATCCATTCCAGTGTGGACAGGCTTCAAATTCTGCTGCTGCCGCCACTGCCTTTTTCTTTTCTGAATGATGGTTTAATTCGCTTTTGTTTGACAATAGTATCAGTCATACCTGCTCTGAAATGATGGTTTCCTACTGAATTTCTTAACCTGGCCGTTGGAATGTTTTGAGACACTTGTTCAGTTGGGGATAGGGATCAATGATATCCTATTGCCCAAGTCGGCATCACTTGCCTCATCTCTGCAACAAGTCGCCCGCACGAGCGGCTCTCTCGGTTGCATCAGCCCAGCCGACCATCCGTGAGCCGTTTCCCCTCGCCGGAAGCAAACTCTGTTTGCTTTTGCTTTGCCTGATGATTGTTGTGCTGTTCTCTTTGTTTCCTAATATTTGTCCGTAGTTTACCACGCGTACAAACTAATCCAACAAAATAAAATATAAATTGCAAAATATAATGAAAATAAAGATATGTGAACCTCATTTTTTTTTTACTGAAAGCGCATCCGCTTGTGTGTGGTTGTAGGATATGGACCTTAGATCTGTTGATCTTCACTAAAATTTTGCAAAACTATAGGTCTAATCCTCGCTAAATTTTTATTGAAAGCACACTCGATTATGCGTGGTCATAGGATTTGAACCGTTTATAGATCCATTAACTTCACTGAAATTTTATTAGGCCATTCACAGTGCAAGCACCCCATATGAGTTACCACAGGATGACACATAGGATGAAGACACTCTCTTCACAGTGCAAGCACCACTTGTGGGGCCCACAAATATCTTCACCGACACCAAATCCCCAACTGGTCCTCCTCCCTCGTCACCCAACGGCGCCGGCTCTCCCCTCCTCCGCCGCCCGTTCCCTCGCCGCCTCCGCTCAAGCCCCCGTCGCCTCTGCCCCCGTCGTCAGCGAGCACTACGGCTGTGGTGGTGGTCGCCGTCACTGCCGCCGCCCGCGGCGGCGCGCGCCGTCCCTGCCACGCCCGACTCTCCCTCTTCCCGGAGGCGGTGACGAGGAGGCGGAGCGAGAAGGACGGTGGCGGCGGCGCGGGAGGACGACGGCAGCGGCGGTGCGGGAGGACAGTGGCGGCGGCGTCCTCGGGCTGATCTTCGGCAAGCGGCAAGCGGAGGAGCGGTAGGGCCGCTCGTGACCGGCGTGGCCAAGGGCGCCGCCTTCATCCCGTGCGCGGATATGGTGCTCGTCGCACGGGTTGGTCGGGATCTGGTGCTCGTCGCGCGGGTTGGTCGGCGGCAGAAGATATTAAAGGTGGGCTGGTGCGCGCCGCCGCCGCCGACGTGCTGGGGTGGCTGGTCTTGGCCGTGGTGCCCGAAGCCGAACATTTTGCTCTCTCCTCTTCCTCTTCTTCCGGAGCTCGCCTCTCCGGCGGCGGCGGCGGCGGCTCGGCCACCACCGACGTCGACGCGAAGCAGCTCCAACCGACGACGACGAGAAGGCGGAGAGAGGAGGACGGCAGTGGTGTCGTCGTCGTCGCGCTGAGCTGAGCTTGGGGGGCCGCCCGCATCTCCCTCTCCACCCCAAGCGGGCCGCTCCTGGCCGGCGAGCTCCGGTCGACCAGATCGGGGGCGGCGTGGCCGACGCGGCCGGCGATTGAAGTAGAGAGCCGCGCCGGCGACTCGCCATGGGCAGCGGCCGAGGACCTCCCATAGGGGCGCGGAGTCGTCGTCGCCCGCGTGCTCACCAAGTGGGCCCGCGCCCCGAGTGGGCCCCGCGCCCGAGCGAAGTTCCTCGTTGCTTTGCTAGGAACCGGAGAACCGAGTATAGCTATGGGCCCCACCCACTTTTCTTGCCACGTGAGACGAAGCCACGGTAAGTTCCGCCCCACTGTGAAAGGCCTTAGAAGCACACATGCATATTCGTTGTTGTAGGGCTTGAATCGTAATGGTTGAAATCATGCACACTGCACCTCCGGTGCTCTCTTACAAACTACTAAACGATAGGGACTGTCTGTATGGCGTTTGACTGAAAAAATGCCATTACAAATCTTGCAAAATCTAAACCATTGGATTGTTTTAAGATTTGTGCCATTTACCACTAACCCTCCTCTCTCTTTTCGTCATTATCATCGCAGCGTTCCCCCCCCCCTCTCATCTCTAAGTTGGCGGCAACGAGTGCCCCTGCGGCGCCTTCTTTCCTATCTTCGACAGCTCCCCGTTGCTAGAAACGCCACCACCAACCGTCATCTCCTAACTACAAGCTCTATTTTCCCTCATCGCCAACATCGGCCCTCTGCCCCTCCTCCATCTTGGCAGCTTTGGAGCCATTGCTACCTCGCCGTCCGCCTGTGTCCACCGCGGACCGTTGGGCCGTCGTCTCCCACAGCCATCTCTCTAAACCCCGCGATCTCCTTCCTCTTCTCCCTTCCCCCACCCCAAAATCTGAGACCCTAAACTCTAACTCGTTAGGACGTCACCAGTCGTTGGAGCTAGAGGAGAAAGATCTAGGTGGTTAGAGCACGAACCTAGCTAAGATTAGCCTTAATTTTCTGTCAACAGCCATATAGAAATCCTATAAAAATATATAAGAGATTATCTTAGATATCTCTACTAAATACATGAACCAATTTAATTCAAATTTGTATGTTAGCATGTCTATCTGTAGGTGTCTTTGCAAGCATATAAAGCTTAATTGGTTAGGTTCCTTGTGTTGGAACCAACCTATCCAGGTTCAAATTCTATATTTGACATAGGTACTCGCATTTGCGATTAATTATTCCTTCAATGATATGCGGCATACCTATTGACAGCGAGACACCCGTGGTGATTTCGTCAAAATCAAAATATATCGGGTTAGTCCGTGGTGACTTTGTCAATCTCAAGATATGTCCCATGGTGATTTCGTCAAAATCAAAATATATCGGGTTAGTCCTTGGTGACTTCGTCAATCTCAAGATATGTCGGGTCAGTCTTTCGGATGTGCTCATAGGGATATGATATTTGTATGCCCGTGGTGACTTCGTCAATCAGGTCAATATTTCAAACGTGCTCATATGGATATGGTGTACGTGTGCCCGTTTACTGGGGGTGAATGTGCGCGCATTATAAACGTCCGTGTCTGTACTGCGTTTTCGGAAAAAAGAAACATCTAGTTCGGGGCAGATTAAAAGGAGTAATTTGCAGTAACCGCATCTTAAATTCTTCACCGGATAGGACATAATAAATATAGTACATATATTGTGAAACGGATAGTCTTATTTATGACATAATGGCAACATTGACACGGAGTACGTCACTGTCACGTTACGTGAACGTGACCAGCTGACCATGCCCTCCGTCTCGATCATTTGCTTGATCTTCTTGCATAGACTTTGGTACTTTGCCTGCATATATACTACGACCTTGCATTGCACTGCGTCGCAACATCTCAAGTTAAGTTGGTGTGGTGGTGTTCGTCGACGTAGCGCGCGCCATGGAAGGGATGAGCAAGCTCGCCGGAGGAGGAGGCGACGTGACGTTCGTCGGCGGCGGCCGTCGCATGGCGGCCGCGGCCGCCGCGGCGCTCCGGCTCGTCGAGCTGGACCTCATCGGCACGGTGGGCGCCGCCGTGCCGGGGCAGGCGACGGCGCCTCGTCTGCTCGTCGTGTCGCCGGCGCCGGCGAAGGAGGAGGAACGCGACGGCGACGACGACGGCGAGCCGCGGCAGCTGTTCGCGTGCCACTACTGCCGGCGCGAGTTCTACAGCTCGCAGGCGCTGGGCGGCCACCAGAACGCGCACAAGCGGGAGCGCACGCTCGCCAGGCGCGGCGCCGGCGCGGGCGCCGGCGGCGAGCAAGCGTCGTCGTCGTCTTTCGCCATCCACCACGGCGCGTTCGTGTCGGCGTCGCCGGGGTGGATGGCGCGCGTGCTTCACGGCGAGGCGCCGCCGGCGATCTCGGTGGCCGGCGACGGCGGCGGCGGCGAGCGGTGGTGGTGGGGCGGTGGAAACGTCGGCTACTACTGGCCGCGCGACGGAGACGATCAAACGCGTCAACTCGACCTGACGCTAAAGCTGTGAAATTGCTGGTGTAAAAAAACACACATATGGACACATATTTTTGCTGCTGGAAATGACCCTAGCTTTTTCTTCTCCTGCATTTTTTTTTCTTGCTTCTACATTTCTGGTGTCCCGGTTGATCGGGACACGGATCCTCTGCAGTACTGCACTTGCAGTAGCAGTAGTTGACGGGTGGTCCCAATCCCATATTTCAATGGCAGCTACTGTAGGTGCAGTAATGTAAATAATCCCCACTGTGTTGATCGATGTATATAAATACTAGTAATTTTACAACCTTAATTCCAAGAATTACTTGGCATCTCTTTCCATCATTCCATGCACGTATGCTCTACTATGTAAACTGACCCTGACCGTAATAAACATCATATAATTTTCCGAATCTTTCGAGTTGATCTAAAAAAGAATTGATCCAATGATCTTTTTCGATCCGGTTATTGGGCCACTAAGCATGACTATGAGTTAGAAGTGAACAGCTCACAAAAATGAAACACAAAAGGAAAACTATAAAGGAGATGATCCATCGAACTGACTGCATGAGATATCATATCATTTTCTGAATATTTCGAGTTCATCTGAAACTAATCCTCCGGTGATCTTTTGGAAACTTAAATGATAAATCGATCTTCTAGTCGAATAAGATCAATCTACACACACTCTACACAATGTGGAACTAATTAAGCTCTTACTTATAAGTTACAATGTAATTAATTGCTAGCCGCAGAAAAAAAACTAAACTAAGCTGATGATGATCCATGTCAAAATTATATAGCTTATCGTTATCGAAGGAGCACTCGTGCGCATGCTTGGTTACGTGCGTGCAGAGAAAGAGACTGACGCTGTTTAATTTCTCTTATCATTTTTAATTTCTTGCAGTTGAACTTGATGCATGTATACATACAAAAATGACTATGTGCATAATTGGTGTGTTTACCAGAAGTTATACTGCCATTACTAGTAAAAAAAAAACATGTCTAACACGCACGTATGCATTTTCATTTTTTAAATGTGCACACACGGGCTAGCGAAGACGAAGTAACCATAGATATATAAACCAAATGGATCGGGATATACTAATTAATGTAACTGTAAACGTATTTAAGAAACTAAATTAAGAGTTGGTCACATGTACCTGATGAGATAGATGAGATAATCAGTGGAAAATAAAACTCTAGTTTTGTACTACTCTTTGTCTGTAGTCTTGGGCTGATGCATGTCACTCTTCTGATCTTGCAAGAAACCTGCAGCTAAGCACCTTTAGCTGATTCAAACTCCAGAGATCTAATGTAGTAATTAATTTGATGACATAAAGTTGTGGCAGAAACCAAGCGACATGCCGGGATCTTGGTGTCATCATGTTAGATCTCTTGTTTGACATTTTTGCTAGCGACCTTAATTATATGGTAATGAGAGTTTACCGATCAGATCAGAGATTAAAATGGAAATTAAAAGGCTACTGGAGTGGTCATCTCAATACATGTATTCACTCCCTCTCCATCGGGTTTGAAAACATGGATCTAGGGCTCCCTTATATAATACATGAATTAATTTTACAGGATTTTGTTTCGTGAAATAGTTCAGTTCCCGTAAGAATAATCCTCTATATATTTGTTTTCTCTGTTCCAAAGGATATCTTCTATAATACTCCCTCCGTTTCATAATGTAATACTTTCTAGCATTACTTATATTCATATGTCTAGATTCATTAACATCTATATAAATATAAACATGAACAATGCTAAAAAGACTTACATTATGAAACGGAGGAAATATAGTCTAGGTTAAATTTTTGAAACTCTTTTCGCGGATGCAAACTTCTGAAACTCTGAACATTGATATCTCTTTTTAGATTATTAAATCATAAATATTATAATTATTCATCGAGATTTACAAATATATTGTAATGAAAGTTTAACCGTATCTGTTGCATGTCATACTGATGACTGGACCAACATGTTATATATATGGTGTAAATATAGTTTTAAGCATATATTACAACCAAGATAACAATAAGAACTATATGTGCACACATACACTCTCGGGGGGCAATATATGAATTGTCGAGTAAACCTTGTTAACTCGTGTGCATGGGCTTATCATGTTATGCCATCTCGATCGGTCATTCATGTGGTCATCCTGACACCTAACCCCCTTTATCCGGTTATTTTGGTTGCATCGCATCATCACCTGCACCAATTATTTCCATCCCTCTGCTGCTGCCTCTATTGTCATATTGCCAAGCAAAGTGATGATCTAAGCTGATGAGGAGACAAGCCGAACTGTTATTAAGCGAAGTGCACGAGCAGTTTTTAAACTTATATGGGTATATCATCTAGATATCTAAACTCTTAAAATATATTTTTTGGATCTCAAACTTGCCCTGAGTGTCATATGGGTCTAAACGGGATCTAACCCGTATCATGCGCTGATGTGGCACCACAGTGACCACTATGCGTAGTGACACCCACATGTCAGTCACATAGGAAAAATAAAAAAAAAGAGAGAGAGGAGAGAGGAGAAAAAATGTTTTCTAATTTTGAAAAAAAAATAAAATTAAAAAGGAGAGAAGAAAACGATGTTTTTACACATAGACGCTGTCATTACATGCCACATCAACACATGAGGTGATTTAGAGCCAATTAGAACTTATATGACACCGAGGATAAGTTCAAATATCTAAAATTACATTTTAAGAGTTTATGAACATAAATAATACATCCACACGAGTTTAGAGACCATCGGTGCACTTTACTCTTATTTCCCTCTCTTCCTATTGTACTAGATTCCTCTAAGATAAAGATACTCCAAATAAAGTTGCTTCCATTATCAGTGGACTACCTATTAATGTTTCGACATATTTATAGCTTTGAATCTTGCAGAATTTTTGATCAATTGATATGAACCATTTTAAATTAATTACCCAAAAAAGAAACAAACATGTTGAAAATCGTAAATCTAGATAAAAAAAATGTAAAATCTAATTTTGATGTACTGTAACTAAGTGTAAGTGCCATGCAACTGAGGGTGAGTTCTATGTAACTGAGTGCAACCATAAGTGAATATAAAAAACGCAAATCTTGATGTAGAATCCTACGGGGAAAAAATAGAAGCCCAAAAATCCGTCGCAAGTAAAATAGCAAATCCGTTATCTTATCTTTCTGGTAGGGGAAAAAGGGAAGCCCAGAAAGCCCACGAACAATTTAGGCCCAGACATAGGCCCGTTCCATATTTGGGCCCAAAGCCGCATTGCAATTTGGAGGGAAGCGGAAGACGAGATGGATATGAGCAACAGAGCAAACCGCACTACACTCCATCTTTTTTTCCGGCAAAGCAACCGCTCCGCTTTCCTCTCCTCCCGGGGCCCCCACAGGCCCCAACCCCCGCCCACGCTTCAGCCGCCGGCCGCCGCGCCGGAGAAAGCAAAGCGGTCGCCTCGCCGCCGCGTGGGAGAAAGTGGTGGTGGTAAAATTTTTATTTACGGCGACAAATTGGCGTGAGAAGGTGGAGAAAAGGTACGGTGGTGGTTGACTGCTGCTGCGGTTATAAATCGGCCGGCGGGGAGAATGAGAATCCTTCGGCTTTGGTGAAAGCTACTCCTACTACTACTTGTGAGTTTATTTAGAGCAAGTCTAATAGTACAAGCCTACTACCAGCTCCAATTTATATATAGTCAATTCATACAAAGATTGTTTACTATACTATTAATATATTCATCTGTCATATACACACAGTGTGTCTTGGAGTCCGTGCTACAGCTTAGATCTGTAGCCCGCTACTCTTCTCTCTCATCATTTATCTCATTAAAATATGTTTATAGCTGGTTAATAGCCTGATATTATTGTACCTGCTCTTACTCTACCCGGATTGTAAATTACTACTGCTACTAGAGTGATAAAATTAGTGGATTGTGTTTGGCTTGTGCTCTTTTTATGGCCTCGTTGTGGACAAACTCTGGGTAAATTTTGAGCTTCAACTGCCCTTTTCTCCTCCTCTTTTTATGCAGCCACTACCCACTAGTTTGAGCTAGTTTTAGCATCCATATGGCGCTTTGTTTTGAGCAGTCTTGCACCGTTCCATCGCACCTTTACTAGCTTACGATGCTGATGAAGGATTGGCCTTTTTTGCCGCTTCATCCAAGAGATCACGAAGTTACAAGTAAGAAGTTGGAATCAGATTGACGTGAGGGACGAGTGAATCTTCTTCTTTATCTTCCTCTTCCTTCTCAATCCCTCTATGTGACCAGGAGCTTGCCGACGATCTTCTATGTGTGGAGTTGATATTCAGTGGACCGTTGTGATCCCTTATTAATTTAGCAACAATCGGACACGTTTAGAGGTAGTTGGCTTGGTGTTATATCTTCTCCGTGGTTGCATGCGGAGATGTTAACGAGAGGTGGTGGGGTGTGTTTATTTTCTGTTTTTCCCTGGTTACAACCTCTAAGGTTATAATTTTGTATTTTTCTTCTACTATATCAATATGAAACTTCACACTATTTTGTGTGAGTCATTTCAAAAAAAAAAAGAATTATGCGAATTGGTGCATTATTTATTGTTTACTATTTTCTTTTACACTATTTAATTAGATTCCAGAGCATCTTAAAAAAACCAGTTGCACTAAGAGAAACGATCACACTATCGTATTCATCTAGAAGAAAAAACAGAAATTTCATCTTTTTTTTATGATCTAATAGAACGACAATTACATATGTACAAATTGTTGGAAAAGCAAAAGGGTCAACAACTTAGAATTCGGGTGTAAGAACCACATGAATCCCAAGCATTAGTCGATTTAGTTATGTGTTTTATCCCGGCCCTGGCTCTAGAGAAATGTGCCAGTCTGAAGATTGTCAAAATATGTTGTAAAGGACTTTCTTAAATTTTGTTGTTATTTGTAAGTTTTTTTTTATCTCTTGAAACCTTCATATATTCTGGTCATGACCGAAAACCGATCCAAGTTAACCGAAACCGAACGAGGACATATCTAGTGAAAACCATCGAATAAATGAAAACTCGTGAAAACTAGACCACAAAGATTGTAAATTTATAAATAAATTAGTAGAGTTAGGTGTAGACATAAAATACATTCTTACCAAATCTCAAGTTTGAACCCAACTTTATTATAGAGTAATAAAAAAAGACAAATTTCAGGTGGTGAATAGTAATAGAACCCTACTCACCTGTCTTTTGTGTTTTTCTCAAATAAAGTTGAGTTTGTCTTAAGATTTGGTATGAATGTTTTTCATACCTATATCCATCTTTAATAATTGTTTCATGAATTTAAAA